GTGTGTATTGAGCAGTGCATACGCCATGCCCACAATTTGGACACAGATTGGACTTCAAGGGAAGATGTCAATTTTGCCTTCAGGTTACATTGGTGTAGCCCAATAAGTAGGAGGTGGTTGTGTAAAATGTGGACACAGGCCTAACTCTAGGCAAAAGGAAGATCCAAAATGTAATTTTAATTAAATAATGTAATACAGTCTGATAAGTCGGTTCAGGAGGCAAAAGTTAATTTTGCAAGAGATCAAGCCAGGCAGGAATATACAGCACAAGTGTCAGCTTCAAGGTACAAGATAACTGAACATCTATGTAAGGGAAGATTGTGTGTGTGTGTGTGTGCGCGTGTCTGTGTGTGTGTGTGTGTGTGGGGGGGGGTTCTAGGAAGCAGGAAATGATGATGTCACTGGACTGTCTGGTGACCCCTGTGTCATTGGTGACAGACAGAGAATTGAAAGCATCCCTTGTCAATAGTCTTTCCACCTTGGGCACAAACATCATTGCCAAGACACTAGGATGGCTTTGTGGTCCGGCGCCCATCTGCAAGCCACAACCTGAGATCCATGCCATGCTACCAACACGAAGAGAAGGACGTTTCAGCCCGTTCTTTAGCAGATAAAATCATTGGCATTGCCAGAATGATTTGACAGATAGAACTTTTTTAAGGCACGAAGAAGACACATAAGGAGGGTAAGAGACACGATTAAGAAATGCAAGTTGGTAAAGGGATGTTAATGTGCATGCAAAGTCAAGAGATACACAAGTGTAGATGGGTGCATACAAAAAAACAATTAAAAAAAAAACAATGGGGAGGGGGAGTTGGGGGAGTTTACAGCTTTGTCACAATTGAGAAATAACCGTGGTACATTTCTGTACAAACCATAACTCACCTAGGTAAATTCATACACTAGAATGAAACTTAACAGGATTACAAACAACAGGTGTGATGTGATTTTTGCACAGGGATGTCCAATAGGTAGCTCTCTATAGCTCCTCAGTAGTTTTGAATTATCTAACCCCAATTTTCTCCCCCAATCAACTACCTCTCCTCTCGAAGGTTTTCATAGAAAAGTACAGGACAGTCCTTAAAGCTTCACATAATAATATATGCATGTGAAAATGCATCTTCTGCAATGACACAAGGCTATGCAGAAAAACAAGTGTCACTCCTAAATGGGATTTCCCAAGTTCCAGCTGAATAGAGCTCTTTAGATCTCGTGTCCATAGCAGACAGGGGAGCTTGTGCATACAAGGAAGGACGTTAAATGTATTATTTTTACTTTTATGCACCCAGACCACTTCATTGAGATAAAGGGGTCTGGGTGCCATGTGCCCACCCTTAACTCTGGAGTTGAAAACATTTACGTTCTGCAGGAAAGGCAATGTTTACATTACACAATTATCCATATAATAACTAAGTAAAACTCTGCTGGAGAGACCATTTGATTGGATTGGCTGAGATCATCAATTTCAATGATCTCAGCCAAAGAGGTGTAGCTCGAAGGGGAAAAAACCCTGGCAGTGCTGGCTCGGTCACTTAAATAATAACTAGGGTCCTCTAACATTAGGAATAAATATTTGTATTTCTAATGCTGTAGTGTTCCTTTAACAGTACCTAAAGCATATGCCGTCCAAGTCTGCATTAAAGGTATATCTCTGTACGAAACACATTATATACAGACACTAGATCTGAGTGTTTATCTGCACCAAGGAAAATATTATCCACAATACTGGCAGGAGCATTCGCAATGTTTTTGCTTTCATTTGTTTCTTTATCTATGTCAAGGAAATGGTTAAATAAAGGACATTTAAACAGCATGCCTTCTGTGGCTGAAGCATTTCACTGTGTTAACTTCTAAGGCTCGAAGCAAAGCAGAGGACTTTAAGTCACCCGTGAGAACCATGTTTGGAAATTTCTACCTCACTCAGTTCCTGAAATTGGGTCTCTTCCAGAAATACCCCCCCCCCCATCCAAAACACAAACATCCTCTCCCCCACTTTCCTTACTGTCAGCGTACATTCAATTTGATTAATTATTTTGCGGTTTAGTTTGGTTATTAAACCACTTCTATTTCTATTTAGCTTCAAGCGTTAAGAGAAAAATAATTTTCTTGTCTTCAACCACTTCTCTAATGTCTATTCACAAATGGATTTCTCTATCCGTCTATTGACCACAGAGGCACCAGATTTTGCGGACAATAGTTAAATTATTGATATATATATATATATATATATATTTATATATATATTATATGCAAGGCCGGACTGGGGATACAAAGCAGCCCTGGAAAAAAAATCTATGCCCGCCCCATAAGTCATTGCGCCATATAGTGCAGTATGTAATATGTAAGGCTATGTCTTGCCACCCCAGATGGTTGAGTGATATATATATATATATATATATATATTGCTTTTTCTAATATATAATATTGGTCCTTTCAGAGTAAAACGTTTAATTATACATTAAGCATACTCACATGCTGTGTTTACATTGCTTCCTAGTGACACCTTTAGTGACAGTCACTCAGACAGTCACTAGAGGTGCTTCCTGTGTCAGTGCTGCACAGTGTGATTGCACAGTGTGCAGCACCTACATTCAGGGCCTTTGCAGCCAATCCTATGGCAGAGCATTGGATTGGCTCAGATCATCAAGCTTGATGATCTCAGCCACAGACGCAGGGCCAGTCGAGGGGAGACCGGCACGGCGTGGGGAGAAATAAAAAAGGTGAGTAAAAACACTTTTTAAATACACACAGACACACACATACACTATGACACAGACACACATACACCATGACACATACACACACACATCATGAAACAGACACACACCATGACACAGACACACCATGACAGACACACACACAGACACACCATGACACAGACACACCATGACACAGACACACACCTTGACACAGACACACACCATGACACAGACAGACACACCATGACACAGACACACCATGACACAGACACACACACCATGACACAGACACACACACACCATGACACAGACACACCATGACACAGACACACACACCATGACACAGACACACACACAGACACACACCATGACACAGACACACACACACACACATACACTCACACTGACAGAATTACACATATTACCTGTGGGTGACCGGCTGGGAGGGCTAGTGGCCGCAGGGGGAGGTCTGCTGGGGGCCGCTGGGGGAGCTGTCTCTGTCTCTGCTCCCCCGCCCTCGCAAGCAGCTTAATGAGACCGGGGCCGGAATATGATGTCATATTCTGGCCCCGGTTTCATTAAGCTGCACGTATCATATTCCGGCCCCGGTCTCATTAAGCTGCACGCTGACAAAGACAGCTCCCCCAGCGGCCGCCAGCAGACCTCCCCCAGCGGCCGCCAGCAGACCCAGGTGTCTGCCTGGCCCCAGGTGCCGACAGCCCACCGGGAAATTTCCCGGTATCCCGATGTGACAAATGCACGCTCACAACATTTAAGGTTAACTCATTTGCATGTTTTTGTTCAATAAAGCATGTAAATGAAGATTTAAAAACCACACAAAATTATAGAGAATAGAAAAAATAGCATAATCTATAGCTAACTTTTACTTACTTATTAGGTTATGATGAAAGTTTCTCTTTAGTTCCCACATAAAGTATATATGGCCTAACTTCAACATTTAAAGAGTTATTTACTAAAGTGAGAATTCAAAGTGAATTTAAAATTTAAGGTCTAAATAGCCAAGTTGGAAAAATTCTGCTAAAAACACAGTTATGATTTCAGTTCAACTGCTTAGGCATTAAATTTGAAGTTAGCTCACTCTAAAAAAATACGGATACACATTGACTCATACAGACACACACACACACACTGACTAATACACACAAATACAGACTGACACATACAAACACATATACATACACACTGACTAATACACACAAATGCACACACAGATACACACTGACTCATACACACACAGATACACATTGACTGATACACACTGACTAATACACAAAGATACACACAGATACAGATTGACTCATACACACACAGATACACACTGACTCATACACACAAATACACACACAGATACACATTGACTCATATACACAGATACACACTGACTAATACACACATAACACAGTTACATAAATGACACATTCACACATAGACACACACAGATAACACATACACACAGATAGCACATATACACTCAAATACACACACACAGATTGCACATACACACATAGATATACATACACAAACACATACACACAAAGATCACAATTTACAGATTTTAAGCCACCCCATACTTTCATACCTTTTTGGTGCAGGGGGTGACTTCTTTGAGGTCCAGTGGCATCTAACAGGTTCTAATGGGTGTTGAGTCCAGACTCCAGGCTCTCTCTCCTCTCTGATCCCCCCCCTCTCCTATGCAGCTCATTGGTAAGCTGGGAGGTAGTGCATTGTACTCACTTCCTCCCAGCATCACGGCTTCACACAGACCAGGGGAACAGCCATGCTGTTAAAGGGCTGCGATGCCTGACCAGGCCCCTGATCAAAGGTGGGCATCGGGTGGTCAATGCACTGATAGGCCCCTTCAGCTTGCTAGAGGTCATTCTGATACTTTGCTGGCGCCACGTTGCACCCCCCTGGCTCCCCACCAAATTTTTCAAAACCAACAGACAGCCCTGTAATAGGTTATGATGCCAGCAGTGCTATTGTGTTGTCCCATGGTAAGTAGTCAAACTGTTTTCATATATACTGTTGGAAAAGGGAAACTTGTGCTTTAGATAAAAAGTAAATGTCTATTATACAAGTTGAAGTAATTAATTTGGAATAGCACGGAAAATAAATGACACTTTTACTTTAAGGGACAACTTTGCCATTTGTGCATAATTGTTGTTCTGTATTCCTATAACACTCTAGTTGGTAAATTGCTGTGCAACAAAACAAGTTATCCAGCAAGTGAACAATCACATCATACTTGATTGCTAACGTCATTAACTGTGTTTTTTCACAGGTTTTGGAGTGCATTGATTGAAACATTACCTCTAAACCAAGTGATGTTCAACGTCTTACAAATACAGATATACAATGTGGCGCCTGTTCTTAGGACAATTATGGTAACAAAGAAACAAGGAAATTAGGAATATCACTTTGCAGTTTGTTCTTTTGAAAGTGCTTCTTTTCAAGCTTGCTGTGGAGAGTTGCATCAGTTAGCGCCTGGTATACTTCTGTGGAATCACAGAGTTTAAATATCCAAATGCAGAAAATTAAACAAGCAGTTCAAGAGCTGCCTTTTAAAATAATCCTGACCTTTAGATCTGACAGAGAGAGCATTCCGCAGAGAAGAGCTATTCTTGTGCTGGGTTGCTGGCAATTACGATAAGCACAAGCTAGTCACTGTTTCACTGCCATAGAGGCCACAATAAAATTTTAGGCCATGGACGTGACTGTCACATCATCAGGTTCGGAGGACTCACATCACTTGGATAAAAAATGTTTGCTCCTCCGTATAACAGCTATATTTTCAACGGTTCCCTAGAGCAAAGAAAGCAGTTTAGCAAGGCGATGTTAACTCGGCATACAGTGGCAAATGGACAATAGACTTTTAGGTAAAAATAGCAGAATTTTAATATTTTAAAAACATGTCTCTTTGGCGTGCTCAGTGTTTTTCAGCTCAGTGTTTAGCATATAAACTCTAGAGTACTCAAAATTGGGTAACAAGGCACTAGCATTCAAAGGAGTTTATTTACTAAATCATTATTTGCTGAGAATTATTCAGAAAATGGAAACTTCTAAGAAAGAACAAGAAGGTTGTAAATGTTTGTCCTACTCACCTAGCTTTCCATATCAAATAGTTTGGCCTACAATTTGATAGTAGTTGAAAGAAAAGTCCATATTATTGACCTACAACTTGCATGTGCAACCTGACTTTTTACCACTCACCTAAAGGGACACTGTCGGCACTATAAACACTTCATCTTGTGGAATGGGTATAGTGCCTGGAGTCATTCCATTCAATGTTAAAATATTTTTGAGCAATTTAACAATAAATTAGCGTCCTTGGATGTCAGCCCTGTCCCCACTGGAAGTATAGCCAGGCAGATGATACACTCATACATAGTAATACCAATTAATTCCCGCAACAGTCAGTTGACAATCTCAGCCAATCACTACCGCCCACTGTTGCTCATGCGTGCATAAGTAGCACAGAAGGGGATGCATACCTCCCAACAAAGGTAGTGCCAGAATTGGGACTCTGGTTGGAGTAAAGCGGGCAGACCAGTGACAGGAGCGCATCACTGGCTCTGTGCAAAAAGGATGTACTGCCTGGAATGCGGGTGTCCTCCAACATTACTGGTAAATACACATCAGGCTGCCTGTCAATCATTTTGGCCAGCTCACTAAGGGCTAACGCTGCAGGGAGAAATGGTTCAGTGCTCTCTGCTATGCGGAGTCCTGGTGCCCCAAAAACATATCGCAAGTGTGTCAAATTATGTGCTCATGTTATGATTGTTGGGCAGTTCCTTGGTGTCTCCAAAAGAGGGGGCTGGCTAGTGTGGAATCCGTTAGCATTGGCCTTCTATTCAGAATTAAACAATTAAATAATATAATTTGCTAAATGAGAGTCCCCAGCAGCCCATCCTTTCTCTACTGCTTGGACCAATGAGGACGCATTCACCTGAGCAGTAATTGGTGGTGGTGATAATCTAAGAGTGTCAGCTGACCATTTGTAAGCTAATCAAAGCACTTATTGCTGGTATGAATGGCTATGACTAGAAGGAAGTGTGTATACTCAAGAAGGGGCCAGGTGCGCAGGGGCCCTTATTTAGTATTAAACTGCTCAGAAATGGTTTAGCACTGAATGGAAGGACAGTGCCTCAAGACACCATGCACTAAATCCAGTTCAACAAGATGAAATGGTTGAAGTAACTACAGTATTTTTATTCTTGAAGATATTCCCTTAGTAACCAATCTAATATTTTTCCAAATAAAATCAGTTTCTGGCTACCATTAGAGCAAGTTCGCTTAATAACCATATCTGTATGAAACCTGGCCCTGAAGGTTTATATACCAAAACATTTTGCTTTGGAACTTTGTGTTGTTTCAGCCACCCACCTATTTGCCATTGGAATTTTGTAACATGAATTTGCAAAGCTACAGCAGTTGGTTTCTGCTTGGATATATGCAGAATACAAAATAAGAAAACTATTGCCTTTTGATCATCACAAACCAATTCAATTGTTACAATTCACTAGATTTCACTTCTTCAAACAGGAAACCGTATGACGTTCCAACAGATGTCTTTACTGCCATCTTAACACATACAGAAGATGGAGGAAATTGTTCAGTCAACTCGGTGAGATACTGTGGTGGACTTCAGAAATCCAGGGTTGTCATTGGGTCATTGAGTTGTACCTGATATTAATATTTCCTAATAAATATATACGTGTGAACTATTGCATTCTTGGAATTTATAGTAAATTTGGTTTTGTGCAAATACCTTAAAAATTCTAGGCCTACAGGCACATGAGATGCAAATGCGGCCATGCATTTCACCTACATGAGAAACCATTGAAAGCTTAATAAATATATATGTTCACGTAGGAATATTTTCTGATATTTATAGTGACATTGCTGGTTTTCTATTTTGGGGGATGGAATAAGTTTAGAAGTTGCATGGGACAAAGCTCCAACCATGTTTTAAATTCCTAAGGCTTCAGTAAAGTATCATCTTGAGTGACTAACACAGTGATCTAGGGTGAAGATCTTGAGAGATTGGTTGATGTAACTACCGTTGGTGTAGCCAGTGCGACTGCACAAGGGGCCAGCATGCTTGGGGGCTCATCAGGTGTCCCTCACACTCAGGTATATGGACATCTGATCGGCATCACTGATTAGGGGACTGGTTGGGTGCTGGGGCTTTTAACAGTGCAGCTGGGCATCTGTAACATTGGTAGTGCTAGGAAGAAGTCAGGTAATTTCCTCCCAGCTAACGCAACACTGTGTGGGGAGGCATACAAGGACCCAAAGAGAGGAGAGGAAGGGAAGGAGCAGACCGAGAGAGTCTGGACCAGACTCCCAGCACAAAAAAAAAGAAAAAAACGTGTTTTACCACTCATAGACACTTTTAAGGAAATCAGCAGGAAGTCTTCTTGGTGTTGGATGTTTTATCGTAGAAAAAATACACAAGCCAGCTAGATCCTATGACTGAACCACGTATGGAAGCAGAGGGTGGCTAAAATATATACATTATGACTTGTGGTGTTTTCATCAGTGTGTGTGTCAGTATGTGTGTGCATTTGTGTCAGTATGTGTGTGTGTGTGTCAGTGTGCATATGTATGTATCTGTATCAGAACATGAATATATATATGTGTTTATCAGTGTATATGTGTATCTGTTTGTCAGAATGTGTGTGTCTGTGTTTCTGTGTCAAAATGTGTGTCTATATGTGTGTGTCAGTGTGTACTTGTACATGTGTCTATATGTGTGTGTCAGTGTGTGTGTGTGTCAGTGTATTGATGTATCAGTATTTATGTGTGTCTGTGTCACTATGTGTGTGGGCGACCGTATATGTGTAACACTATACACAAATACATTCCTGCTGTCAAAATCAACACTACATACAAACACACCCCAGGATACAAGCACCAACACTACACATATGTACACCTGCATTCAAATGCCAACACTTCATATAAACACACCCCTCCATTCAAACGCAAACACTACACACAAATACCCCCCTGCATTCAAACATTATAAACAAATAAATACTGGCATTCACCAAATTTACATACAAACACACTGCTTTTCAAATGGCAATGGTTAATACAAAGACACTCCTACATTCACACACATACTACAAACACAAGCATGCTTACATTCTACACGTTATTACCAGCTGGCAAAGCATCATGGGAGTTGCATGACCACTGAGAGTCTGCCTTTTGACTGCCCCTGCTCTAGAGGGGGTCCAAAAAGATTTCTTGCACCAGGACCTTCTCTACATCAGTTCCACCACAGTGCTGCAGATGGAACGGCCTCTGTTGTGGAAGCAGAATGTGAAACATGCACATTATATAAATCTGTGCAAATGAATACATTTGTTTTAAATGGAAAGTAAATCAGGTCTGGTTCTTTTCACATTTTAGCTCTCTCTGACACTTAATTTACAGGTGGAAACCAGCAGATCATGTGCTTTAGAAAAACGTTGTTTAATTAGAGGCCCATATTCCAGATGGAGATCAACTTTTTAAATGCCGTATTCCATAAGCAAAAGTATTTGTATGAGATCTCAACCTTCCAAAACACTTACCTTTTAGTATTAAATCGGCATTGTATAAATGAGCTCTCGTGGCTATCAGGGTTGTTTAGTAAAGTGAGAATTTATAACAGTAGCTGAATGGTACACATAGATGACTTAGAGATTTTTTTTTCCAGTTTGGCTTTTTTAACCTTAAATTAGAAATTCACTAAATTCTCACTTTAGTTTAAAGCTCTGTACATATCAGCCCACTTTTGTATTGGTCTGTGTATATTGTATTGTATTTTCCCCAATTGTACAGCCACTGGCGGAACTACCGCGGTTGCAGCTGTGACTGGGCCCGTCATTCCAGGGGGCCCGGCCGCCTTGTTCGACCCCTGGGACCAGGGTGCCCGCCAGCATTTTGTTTTGGCCCAGACCGCGTGGAAAAAACGCTGGGGCTGCATTGAAGGAGCACTTTGGATGGCCCATGCTCTTGGGGCCACCTGATGGCAATGGATTTTCTGGGGCCCGGTCGTGCTCTTAAAGCGCTGCAGCCCCAGTGATGATGTCAGAGCTGGGAGGAAGCCGTCACTTCCTCCCAGCCAACAGAGCGCCGTGCAGGAGGAGAGGAAGGAGTCAGAGTGGGAGCTATGACTCCCATCAGCATGAGGCAGCCACTGGACCCCAGGTAAGTCACTACATTGTTTTAACAGTTTGTGTGTGTGTGTGTGTGTGTGTGATAGAGAATTTTTTAACAGTATATCTGTGTGTGTGTGTGTCTGTCTGTGTGTCTGTGTGTGTGGCTGTATGAATGTGTGTATACATGTATGTGTGGCTGTGTGTTTGCATGTGTATCTGTTTGTCTGCATGTTTGGGGGGTAGATGTATAGGGGGTGGGGACATATGGGGTGAGGGGTAGACATATGGGGGGGAGGGTGGGCAGGGCAATTTTTGCACCGGGCACTGTGGTTTCTAGTTATGCATCTGTGTACAGCGCTGCATAATTTCTTGGTGTTTAATAAATGCCAGTAAAAATAATAATAATAACTACTTGTGTGGGTTTTTTTTAAATGAAGGAAAATGTTGATCTTAATAAATTTAAATACCAGACTGCACACAAATCAATGCTTGAAGATATATCTAAAGAGAGCCTTCAAAAGCTGCAGATCTCTTGTTTAAAATCCGCTGCAAGCCCTCCCTTTCTAACCTATCCCAGATTTCTGGATTACTGCAATCAGAAACCATACAGGTTTTCCATTAAAAATAAGACCAGAGTCTAGACACTAGTTAGAGGAACACTCACGGCACCATAACTACTACAGGATGCTGTATTAGTTAAATAGTTATGGTGCTATAAGTGTCCTGGCAGCCCCTCATATAAGTGGTTAAGCCGTTTTTGAAGCTGACCCTGCATATCAGGGGCTAGTTACAGAGAACTTATGGAAGCTCCATGAAGGAACTTCCAGCTCTGAATCGAGTAAGTGACCAATGCCCCGCGAAGGACAATTTATCAAATAGTTTGACTACTAACACTAAGAGAGTACCAGTGCACTCCTTACACCATAACTACTACAGTGGAGTTAAATTAAAGTACATTAAAGTATCCAGCTGTTTCAACAATGAGATGTAAAAATAACCACAAAGTCAAAAAAGCATGCAAAATATAACATTATTCAATAGAGGTCTACTTACAAAACAGCAAGTTTTTGTTACTATTGCCTGAAAACCACCTTTCTAAATTTATCTGAAATATATGAGTTGGAAGAAAAGTCTGATTTAGCATTAATGGATTCCTGTGTCCCACACTACTACCGAGTCGAGCCAACCTTGTTCACAGATTAAATAACTGCTGTAAGTATTCATACATACCATAACATCAGTTTAAACAAGAATTGTTTTTTATTGTTCAATAGTGACAGAAAAAGTGGAAACACAAAAAAAGTATGCCAAAATGTAACGAACACTGTACAAAGGCAGCGCTGAAACATGCAGTTTCGTCATTTCAGATGATTGCTTTTAATGTGTTTAACCAATTGTCATGTTTTACAATTAGAATATTCACCGCATTCCCCCAGGGACAGGAACATTGTTCAATGTACAAAAATAAATGGCATATTGTTATACAATAGATATTTTACTTAAGAAAAAACAAAAACACTCCAGAGTTTCTATAACATTTGTAAGAAATGCCTAAGGCTGTCACAAATCAGAAGAGTAACATTTTCCTTTCCTTTGAAAAGACACAACAGATTTATTCTTCCATAAAGTAATATATCAAACCTGCTGCACAGAAATAAACACAACCCTTTGTTACAATCATTCATATTAATGGAGGTTAAATATGTAGTGAAGAGCATTTGTAAGCACCCTATTCCAGGGGCTGGCAGCAGAGCATGCTTTACCAGTGGATCATCAGTTCTCATTAATTCTTTGCATCCCAAATTTTATCCCCCTGGGATCCAGTCAGTTGCTCCATAGAAGCAGAGCAGCACTATCAAAGACATGCCCCTCATTCTCATGCACTGTACAAGAGCCTACATGGCTCACACAGGACAGTTTTGCCAAACAGCAGCCTGAGAAGATGGGGGTGGGAGGGACTATCAGCCTTCAAGGTACTGTCAAACAGATGCTTTGCTTTACTTTGGATTCATTTAAATAGGGATTAGTCAAATGCAGATCTCAAATGTTTTAAACTACATTTCCTTTAATACTCCATAAATCACTTAACATCTTTGTGGCTGCCAGTGCATTTTGGGAAATGCTGGATGCCTGGAACCTTTAAGATTAAGCAAAACATATAGTTAAAAGGTGATCATTAACATGTTAATTAAACTGCAATTAACATGTTAATCAAACTGCAGTCCTGCAATATTTTTTATTTTTGCAACTGTCCCATTCCCAATGTCTAATTATTGGATGCTTAAGTGAGATTTTCTTACACCCCCTGATTACTGTTAAAGGAACACCATATGGTCAGGATCACAAACATGTATTCCTGACCCTAGAGTGTTTAACCCACCATATAGGTGGCTTGCCCCCAGTCCACCTCTAAAAGTTTAAAACTCGCCTTATTTCCAGCGCCGAGCGGGTCCGCCGGTGCTGGCCACGCCCCCTTTGTGACATCATCAAAATGGCAGATACGGAAAGTATTGGATTCCCCATAGGGAAAGCATTGGATTGGCTAAAATCAGCACGGGGGGCAGGGCCAAATGCTGATTTGGCCAATAAGGACCTACTCATAGAGATGCATTGATTCAATGTGGAAAATTCAGTGTCTCCATGCAGAGTGCTGCTTTTTCGGCAGCACTGACCCAGGAAGCACCTCCAGTGGCCATCTAAGGAGTGGCCACTTGGAGGTGTCTCTAGAGGCAATGTAACACTGCCTTTTCTCTGAAAAGCCACTGTTTGCATGAAAAACCCTGAAGGGAACTATTATACTCACCAGAACAACTACAATAAGCTGTTGTTGTTATGGTGACTATAGTGTCCCTTTAAAATATACTTTTCACACCATGGCTTGAGTACTTTTTTGTCCAGCTGGCAGCCTGCGCTAAGAGCTAATCTCTGCATGGTGTTTTATGTCTAGTACTATGCTTTCAAACAAATAAATCCCTGCATTCATCTTGCAGGTTGACTTATTTCAGTAATTTCACTCAGATGTCTAAACCAATTGAAGCAGCATAAAAGATTAAAAGAATGTAGTGTAATAAAAACAAACACATTACGCAAGTGTGTACCACAACGGCAACAGTGGGATTAGTGAACACCAGATTACTGCTACTAGAAAAAAATCAGCACAGCGGGAGAGATGTACTAAAGGGGATAAGTGGTTACGTTTTAACCATAGTGAAAAATACCTCTCCAGTTCTCAAGTTATCTAATACGGCCTAAGTACTGAGTACAAGATGCTGCCCTCCAGTTAATGAGCTAAAACCTTTAAATATAATTATTGCCTTCATTTATTTGGAATTTAGTCCACTGTTTTTCATGAGAGAGCCGAAGTTAAGAGAGCGCCACAAATTAACACTGTCTATTTCTCTTTTTCTAGATGTTTAAGTGCAATTATTGAAGCATTCCATTTTTGGATATCAGTACTAATAAGATTGAATACATTTTGATCAGTATATATTATTTTGTGTTTTGTTAAATATACTTCAGTTGCCTGTGTATAATGCATTCTGGTGCTCTGATTTCATTGGATAATATATACACCTATCTTATGTACATTGTATATGTGGATGTTATTCATTCCCATAATCTTAAAGAACACAAAGGCACCATAATGACTTCATCTCTCTGGTACATGCCTTTCTAAAGCATTTCCCTCAATAGGAGGCCAGTTATAGACTGAGAGCGTCAACTAAACCTATCACTGTTTTAAAGATGGGGCCAAAGAAGGAAGAAAAGGTTCCAGGAGAACAGGTGCCAGAAACAGCACTTTGGTGTTAAACTGTTAGAAAACAGTGTAATCCCTTAAGGTGGGTCAGTGCCCAGGACCTCCAGGCACCATAACAACTTCACTGAAATAAAATCATTATGGTGAGCGGAGTGGTTCTTTAAAAATGTGACATACATGTGCCTTCTGTTTGTCAAAAGGAGGATATATTAGACTCTAGAGGGTCTCAACCTACAAAACTCAGGTGTCTGCGCCTGTTTTAAACTGCTGGGTTTCTAATAATGTTTTGATAAGCAGTGACGCCTTTAGGATATCTGCCTGTTTCTCCATGGGTGCCAGTTCTTCAACGTCCATTTTTAGATTACTTTCTTTTTAATGTATCACTGCTAAAAATAACAAATTGTAAAAAAGAAAACATTCTAAATCAGTTAAATCAGGTGACAATTCCAATCTGATTCCAAACTATTCTTCATCTTGTGTTATTGTTGTTTGTCTGTCACTTGTGTTATTGTTCTTTGTTTGTCACTTGTGCTATTATTCTTCATCTCCGTCTCTCTCTTACAGTATAAAAATATATATTACAGCTCTGAAAAGGTCCAAAGCAATTTATGTTCAAAGGCTGCCAAGATTTGGAGTTGCCATATCCTGCAAGACACCAGTACGCCCATCCTTTCGTTAGATGCTCAGAGAAAGCAACATCACAAGGGGATTATCTACTAAACAACGATAGTCTCCAAGTACTGGAGAAGCACAGGATTTAGCTGCCCTGAATCTTTGAAGCCTTTTGCATGCAATCAAAGCACTGTTGACTCTTCCATCATTGCTAAACTGACACGGTGATGCTGTTTTAAATTGGTGTCCATAAAAGGGCAATGGATGCCCTAATATTTCTGGACAAATGCTTAGGATGTAAAAAATCCCCAGTAGTGGATGTCAGGCAGAATGGGTACAACAATTGTGGTTCTAAAGAAACATGTGGTTTCTGTCAAATCACTTGAAAACGTGGTGCTTATATGCCGCAGGTGATATTAATATTTGCATTTGCTATGCACTGCATCTCCGTCATAGTTTTAGAATAGCAGATACACAATATCTTATATTTTAGATCATTTCCTATTTATTTGTCCTATTACAATATTTTCATATATGTGACGGGAATTTGTTGTGACACTAGCGAAATAAATTTGTGTACGGTAAAATTTCATCCAATGGACCATTATATTATTGACCTACTGAGATATTTTAAATGTACTTGGGATAATTATGAAAGCTGATGTTCTAAAAATATATACAGCATATCCAAGTAAATGATTGCAGGGCTGGAAATAGCTTTTGCTCTCTATTTAGATCCAGGAACTGCCCTGTAATAATTTAATTTAAACATGTTTATTATTGACTGGGAGACCATCTGCCTCCTCTTATTCTAAAAACAGACACACTAATCTCAGCGTGAGTACAGTGATAAGTATATTGCTCACTAAATTCTACAGGTGTTGGTGTCAAGCCTCTTTAAATGCCAGATTGACTTACTGAAAGTAGATACGAGGTGAGGTACTACCTTTTAAACTGGTGTCAGGCCCTGTGTGTGCAGATATGACAAAAATGGTCTGTTAAATATGGACTACAACCTAAATTTCTCAGTGAAACTTTTTTTTCTCAGTAAACTTAATTTTAAAATGAACGCCGTAAGTAATCTTGATCCGGTTCTTCTTCCTCTTCAAGGTAAACAACAGCAACTTTGTTCTCGTCAGAAATTCCAGAGCTTTGATGAACTATTCTGTGGACTTGAACAGTTTTATCAAATTCGGAGGTATCAATGATGCCTTGGGATTGAGGATTGATTTCAACCTCATAAGGGTATTGAAAGATACCAGCGATTTCTTCTTCACCATATCCACTTTCAGCCACCTCCATATCATCTGTCAGTCCCCTGTATGACTCACTTTTCATTGGCTGCCTGTCAGTATTGCTGGAAGCAAACATTGTTTCACTTTCTTTAACTGCACCTTCATCTTCATATTTTGTAGAAACTTTGGTAATGTCCATCTGAAAAGTAAATGATTTTTCTGTTGGACCAAGTTTAATATGTTTAATTGATCTCTCACTCTCCGTAGAATCCCCAGAGGGGGATGAAACAAGGAAGTCTGATGATTCATACGATTCTGTAATTGGTCCTTCAAATACAACATGTTCAGAAGATTGCATTTCCTTGCCACCCAGATGGATATGTGCAATAGACCTGTTTGAGTCTTTCGAATAGGAGCTATCCTTTCCACCATCAAAGGCTAAATTTATAGAATGAGGGCCTTCAAATATAATTTGTTGTTCTTTGTTTGGGCTTAATTTGATGTGATGGACAGACGTATTGACGTTTGACTGGCCTTCTACTGCAGCAAAGCCTTCTGGATCTCCCGTTTTTTTAGGTTCAGAAATGAAGCCTTGATATTTTATTTGTTTTGCAGTGTGAATCTTCTGAGTACCAAGACTGTGTTCGACAGGCATGTTATTGTCTTCTGGTGTACTAGTTTCTTGGCCATCAGTTTTGATACGTGTTAGAATGTTAGGGATTGAACCCTCAAAAATGATTTCTCGTGTCATATGTGCTTCACCTGAATTCATTTTAAAATGAGTAACTGTATTATTTGTACCTGTTGCACCTTCTGATTGAATAATATTTTGGTCCCAATTCACTTTTACGCCTCTCTGTTGTCCCTCAAAGTCTAAATTGATATCTTTTGTACTTGGATTGACCTTCTCTATATACTGTTCATTTCTGACAGTATCACTGCCAACTGCCTCTGATTTGAAGATGGGTCCCTGAAATATAATATGCTCTGTAGGATGCAATTCTGTAGGACTTATTTTGATATGACGTATTGACCGGTTTTGATCTGAGGAATTTTCTGTATTGTTTTCTATATCCAGTTTGAGGGTTTGAGGGATTGAACCTTCAAAGATTATCTGTTCTTTAGAGTATAGTTCCCTAGGTCCTAATTTAATATGGTGAGTTGATCTATTCATTTCCACAGATTGCTCTTCAACTAAACCTTGCTTTTCTGAGTCAGTTATCTGTCCCCCTTGTGAGAAACCATCATCTTGGTCACCCACTGGTATATGTTTTATGAGTCTGCTCATATCAGTGATGACTTGTGATCGAGATATTTCTCCTTCTGGACTTTTAGTGTCCTGATATCGACTGTAGGACTCAGCACCTTTATTTGTTCTCATTGTAACTGAACTATAAGATTCATTATTTATTCCAGATTCAGTGTTAAATGACCATTTATGACCTTCTGTTTTGTCTAGAAATATTGCTTTCTCTTCAGAGGTTTCCAAAGCAGAGTACGGTGATGGTGCATCTCCACCCTTAGCCTTCTCAATTAAATGCAGTGTTTCAAGATCATCGGCATCCACTGTCTGTGACACATTTATTTCTGCTACAATCGTAACCAAACCACTTTCTTTAGTTTGGTCAACTTTTTTGATATCCACTGCTAAATTGCTGGCTTGAGTTTTATCTGCATCAGCCAAGGTTGCCAATTCCACAGCTAGGTCTTGTGGAAGACTGCCATGGAGACAGTCCAATGCACCTTTCAACTGTTGCTGAGGGACTTTGTTTTCTTTAGACAACAGATCCATGATTGATGACTGGAATTCATGAGGGATTTTAATTTCTTTTTCTATCACGACAGTCTCAAAATGTGACTCTGTTTCTTTTGGAGTCTGTGTTTCTAAACCCTCATGATGAGTTGTGTCTGGTTCATTACTGCTAGCATATTTTACAAACTCACTTAACATTTTCCGACCCTGTGAACTTTGCAAGAATTCATCTTGCCAGGAATATTTAACTTGGGATTCCTCCTCTATGTGAATTTGCCCTTTTATTGTCTCCTCCTCTTCGTCTTCTAAAATGGGAATGTCATCTGGAATTGAAACAAAATAATTTGTCTCTTCATCTATATCTTCCCCCTCTGCTACTTCCTCAACATTGGTGGGCCCTTCAATGGGTTGTTCTTTGTCTTCTTGTTTTTTGGTGGATAAATTAAGTTCTTCATTAGCACTTATCTCTTGTTTTTCATGATAACTATCCTCTGCTTCCTCAACATGAAATGGGGTGGAAAATTCAGTTCTTCCAAATGTTCCAATGGACTCCTCAATTATTTCAACATTAACAGACAATCCTGGTTTCCCTTTTAGACCGGTGTGAATGATATCTTCTATCCAATCTTTTGCTTCTGCACCTTTTGTTTCTCCAAATATTGTTTTTGTAAACTCTCCTTGCTGTTGATTGTATACTAAGCCTTTTGTATCTCCTGTCTCAGTGTTTTGGACTTCTTCGTATGTTTTTCTGTTCCACAGATCAACAAGATCAGGTTGATCGAAAAGGTCCACATCCTCTTCTGTCTTTGACTGTACAGTAATCTCAGTTTTTACTGATCCATCACTGCCCACTTGTTTTCTTTCTATAAAGGTCACGCTGGGATCATCCAATGCAGATGGTTGACCAAAGTGTTTAAGAATATCTGCTACCATTTCTTTTTCTCTCAAGTTCTGAGATGAAGTTATGAATACCTCTGATTCCTTGGTAGTAGAGGTGTTTACTCCTTTATTTTCTGCATGACCTTCTTCATTTCCTAGAAAACTAGTTTTTTCATCAGTATACATTTCTTCTAAGTTTCTAAATACACTTTCCTCGGATATAACACGTGCTCTATTGTTCCGTGCTTCTACAATGTCATGTTCATCAAAAAAGTCATATTTTTTCTCCATCTTAGACTGCACAGTAATGTCAGTTTTGACAGATCCATCACTGGCAAATAATTTCTTCTTTACAGAAGCCTCACTATCATCCCATGCAGATGGTTGGCCAAAGTGTTCAGATGAGGTTATTACCACCTCAGTTTCTTTAGTCGGTTTGCTTTTGCTACCTTCTACTTCTTTATTTTGTGTACGTGCTTCTACATCTTTTAAAAAAGTATTTTTTTCATTTGCATTGGTTTGTTTTGAACTTCTGGTTATTTGAATCTCCCTGACATTTTCTCCATGAATTGTCTGTGACCTATCCTCATTCTTTCTTATTTCAAATTGTATTGGTATGTTTGTAAACACTTGCTCTTCTCCTGGCTTTTCTCCAAGTGTAATTGACTTGGCTGACTCATTGTCTCTTGCCATAATAGTTATTTCACTTGATTCTACTTTCTCCAGTTCCTCTCTCTTCTTCTTAGCTTGTTCTCTTTTCTTCCTTTCCTTTTTGACTGGTAGTTCCTGTACTTTAGGTTCTGTTATTGTATTTTCCTCTTCTCTCTGTGTTACACTTACTCTATCTTCTTTTCTAATTTCCTCCTCATTTAGGCTACTTTTTCTGTGTTCCAAATCATGCGTCTGATCCTCAGTGCCCTTAGTTATCACATTCATTTCCTCCACTACCTTAGATTCAAAGTGCTTTGTCACATTTGTTTCCTTTATTTTATCATCTACCCTGGATTCTCTTTGAGCGTTACTGACCACATCAGGCTGTGACTTAATGATGACACTTGATTTTGTATTACTCACCTGTTCTTGTTTTGCCTTTTGAGTGTATGGTGTAGAAAGTCTTGATGAATATGGTTCTGACACAATACGAGATACTGTTTCATTCACATTTTGGTGAAGGTGTCTGTTTTTCAGTAAATCATGTTTTTGGGGGAAGCTTGTGCCAAACCTATCATCCTTTTTTTGTGTAGACATCTCATGAACATGAGACACATATGAGCTATTTATCCTTCCTAAGTCTGTGGACAATGGTCTAATGTGTATTTCTGGCACTGTTCTTGACTGGAATCTGTGGATATCTGAAGTTCTTTTTGCCACTGCTTCTTGGCTTCTGAATCCTGGAAAGTCCCTTCTCTCAGCTTCCCTCTTGACCCCAGAATATCTTGATGACTGTTGAAAACTTGAAATTACACGACCTATGATTGATACAAATATAAAAAGACATAGAAATCAGTAACACACCAAATGCAGAACATACTGTTGCTCATAAATTCACACTTGTACTAGAGGATATTAAAAAAAAAAAAATTTACTAATACATGACAGGAATCATATTGTTAACTTGGGCAACAGTAGGTGGGAAATTCAAAAAAAAAAAAAAAAGTCACAGACATTTTAATGAAAAATTAGAATGTAAATCTATTTCTCATTTATAGATGAAACGTAAAGGTTTTTCTCAATTCAATTTACATAGGTTCTCCACTAACCCTCTCTCATCCTCTCCACTTGCATAATCTTCATCAATGTTCCACAGGTGAAATTATCTCATAGGCCTACTGACAAACAACCGATGTATGTGCAAATGTAGGTGGTGCCAAAACACCAAGCTGTAAGAGTTCTACAAGATTTTACTATCTTTAAAGGGACACTATAGTCACCAAAACAACTTTAGCTTAATGGAGCAGTTTGGATGTATAGATCATGCCTCTGTAGTTTTACTGCTCAATTCACTGCCATTTAGGAGTTGTCACCTTTGTTTCTGTTTATGCAGCCCTAGCCACACCTCCCCTGTCTGTGATTGACACGGCCTGCATGAAAACAGAATAGTTTCATTTTCAATCCAATGTAAGTAACTTTAAAAGTTTTTTATCATCTCCTGCTTTGTAAATTGAACTTTAATTACATACATGAGGCTCTTGCTGGGTCTAGCAAGCTATTAACACAGCAGGTTAAAAAGTTAAACAGAATTTAAAATAAAGTATAAACATTAGATGACTCTTTACAGGAAGTATTTAGGAAGGTTGTGCAAGTCACATGCAGGAAGGTGTGACTCGGATTGTATAAACAAAGTGATTTAACTCCTAAATGGCAGGGAATTGAGCAGGGAGACTGCAGGGCCATGATCTATACACCAAAACTGCTTCATTAAGATAATGTTGTTCTTCTGACTATAGTGTCCCTTTAATGTCCAGATGGGAGACAAAACCTGACTTTAGTTCATGTAGCATTGTTGCTTTCTCTGGACCTAACCACTACATAAAAGCCCCATGCATCTAAAAACTGAACTAAATTGAATCTTTTTATATTGTACTTTTTATCTTATATTTTGTATTCTAATATACTGTATATTTTAGTGTAGACAGATACATTTCCCAGACCTCATCAATTATTTTCATATCTTGCACTTTTTGAAATCTTTATCATTATGCCACTAGTTATATATGGTGAGATATCCTTAACTGAACGTGTGATATTTGCCATGGAAACTTCATTTTCCCTTGCAATACAAACAGTAAAAGTTTTAAATAAAATATTAACAAAGTGAATTAATCATATGTAATAATGATATTGTCATTGTGTTACATGCGATTTAATTGACATCTTCATGTTTATTAATTGTTCCACCTGTAGGTCTTTCTTTCACTGTGCGATCTGTCCATATTACTGTGCCCTTTTGGCTTTCTCCTTCTAGAAGAGCCCTGTTAGGAATGAAGAACAGAAAAAGGTGGGAAGATAATCATTATGTATACATTTGAACATATACCACATTTTTTAGAGTAGACCTACAGTTGACGTATAATCCTGAAAAATATCTACAGCCATATAATCTGTTATTTCTGTGACTACTTTTTCCTGGCTAGAACCCTTACAAGAGTTTGCAAAACACCCTCTAAGCAAGTTTGTAATGGCATTCCAGGCTTGAGGTGAAGATCACTCCCCAACATCTGGCAGTAGATTACTCATCATTGGTTAATGTTGCCTTGACCTTCAGAACATTCTTAACTATGTTTTTGTTGTTACATACTGATAACACATCATATCTAACATCTTGGTTATGTCAATACTTTTCTCCAATTCCCTGGCTCCATTCTGTTCTTCAAGTTGCTGGTCCATGCTCTTGTTCTCTCTCGCCTGGACTATTGCAATACTCTTCTCAGTGGTCTTACGTGTTCCCAGATTGCACCGTTGCAATCTATAATGAATGCAGCTGCAAGGAAAATTTTCCTGTCTGCTCGCACTTCCCACGCCTTCCCGCTCTGTCAGTCCCTGCATTGGCTTCCAGTTAGATATAGGGCTCAATTTTAAATTCTGGTGCTTGCTTACAAGTCCCTACATAATGCTGCTCCAACCTACCTATCCTCCTTAATACACAAGTATGTCCCGTTGAGGCCCCTACGCTCTGCCAAAGACCTACGTATATCCTGTGTCCATACTCCCACCTCTAAAGCTGAACCTCTTCTGTGGAATCCCTTCTTCATAAGAATTTCACCCAGTCTCCACTCATTCAAAAAATCATTGAAAACTCTCTTCTTCAAGAAAGCATATCAATTAAACTGTTAGCAGGTTTTTATCCCCCACCCCCCATGACTCCTCTCCTGAAACTGTCAAAAATTACCTAATAAGTTCTCAGTGAATACTTTTCTAACAATTTACTTCATATCCCTACTTTTACCCTTTGTGTCACTGTACCCCACTCCCTCTAGAATGTAAGCTCATTGAGCAGGGCCCTCCACCTCTCTGTTCCTGTACGTCCAGTTGTCTGGTTACAATTACATGTCTGTTAGTCCACCCATTGTATAGTGCTACGGAATATGATGGCGCTATATAAAAATTAAAACAATAATAATAATAATAATAATAATAATAAATTTCAAAATGCAAGCTTCCACCTAAACTGCCATGGAGAGGATTATTAACTAAGTGATTACTTTGTGGTAGCAGATTTAGATAAACTATTGGCATAGATTGTCATCTGCTATATTCTAAACTGATCAAACGAATGTTTAACTCTTCTGAAAGTGTCTAAATCTGAATTTACCAATATTAGACCATGTATAGGGATGGTGGTTAGTTCAAATAACTCAGCGATTACTCGGAAATGAATTCCCAAACTGAAACTCTGGCTATTCAATCAGGCCACAGATAGTAAACAAACTGGAAGTAACTCCAACCTTTAAATTGCTATGTTACAAAAAAGAGAATGAAGTGATTCTTTTATTATGTATATTATCCTTATGCTTTAGTGTCCCTGTGCCATAAAATATGTGTGCCATAAGAATAATTAAATAAAGAATCTTACTCGCCTTTTTTTCCATGCCGAGGATCCCTCAGCACTGCTTATTTCTCCTTCTCCTGAGACGTAATGGAGGAGGCATGGCCTCCTCTGCAATGGTCTAATCCAATGCTCCTGATAGAGGAGTATTGAGGACATGATGGGCATGTACACCTAGTGCCGTACCCACATGCAAGCTTTAAATCAATACTTTCCTAAGGAGGCTGCAACATCTGACTGAATGCAGTGGAAGCCACTAGCGCCTCCAGTGGCTGTTAGTATGACAGGTAGTTGACATGGCTGTTGCAGTGGAAGAGCCTCCATTGATTGTCAGTATGACAGTCACTAGAGGTGTACTTAACTCTTTAAACTAAACATGGCTGTTTCTGAAAAACTGAATTTTTTTTTACCATTAATGGTTAAAATGACAGGACCAAAGCACCCTAGACAATCATGTCTTCGCCCATTCCTTGCTGTGGAATGGAGGATGATTCAACTAATGCAAGGGTCTCCAGAACTCTATTAACCTACTAATTTGTTAACGCCTTAGCCACATCCGGTGAACAGCAAGTTGTCGATTAGTGAAATATTGTTTGTGGGCTTTTATGAGCTCACTGCCAAAGCCTGGCTGGACATCTCCTTATATTTAATTTAAAGGTGAGGTGGTACATATATTTAGGAGGATTAGAACATTGTCGCACACAAGCCCATTAGCAGTTTAGAAGATAATCACATACAAGTCCATTTGCTTCATGTATCTTGCAATTGGAAGGATCCCAGGGCAGGTTTTTATTTAATTATTTAAAGATGTATATTTAAATCCGAGTCTGCTTATACAGTCAGAAGCTCAATTATAAATATGGGACTTGAGTTAGGCAGGAATAAAATAAGCAATTTGAAATCCCTCAATTTGGATGTAATACGATGCTTTATAAATATCCAATGTCATCTACTTTGAAAGGACTTTACACTTACTTATTTGCAGACACCAAATTGCTGTGAAATGAGACTGCACTTTCAAGGCCAATCTCAAAATGTGGCACTTAATGGATTTAGTAAACATCCAAATTTGAATATCAGGTTCTTTTAGGATATTTACAAATTTTAGCTATTAAATACTCATTTGGTGACTAATAGATAACTCCACAATCGTCCCATCCTACTGTTACCCAAGTTTCATTATTTTCTTAGTATCTGTATATTCTTGATTGTTGATGTAAACAATTCATCACTATGTAGGGGAACTGTTTCTGCAAATTCCTGTGGATTATAGAATTTAAATGTACTTTCTTAGATAGACTCACATTTTCTCCAGTTTAATTTATTGTGTGCGATCATGCAAGGTGTTACTAATAGCCAATACAGGGAAGATACCAGAAATTGCCTAGTAACTGGGCAGATAACTCAGAATATCTGGCTCTTGTTGTCACTTGTGTTTCTAAAGCAATTAAAAACACTAAACATAATATCAAATAGCACACACATGGAGCAGCTGAGCAAAGGGAGCCGGATTAATCGAGTACTATAACTCATGACAACGGAGGACAACCAAAATAAAAGCAAAATTAATACTGTACCCCACCCTGCGGGGTGCCAGGAAACTGACTCACTGCCTCATTCCTCTTGTAGAATAATTTATTTTCAGCATGTTAGGTTAGGATAAAAATGATGTGCTAGATTGACGAACGTGCCCGACAGGAAAATGAGCTATAATGTGGAAATGTGACCACGCAAAATACATGTAACAGGTGGACGCAGAGATGGCATCTATCTGGCTTAACAGATGACTTTCTGTGTCACTAACGGTAATTTCATTTATTCCAAACCAGAATAGAAAAATCAAGTAACTAAAAGATAAAAAAGTATTTATCAAATAAATGGTAGAATCAAATTACAGAGCTACTTAAAGATTTAACTTTTGCTTCTATCTTTAGAACTAAATGTTATATTAAAAATGCATTTTTAATTTTGAAATAAGGTGCATCAATTGAGATCATTAATGTAATAAAGAATTTAAAACATGAATATTTTGCATTTTTCTATTCCGTCTGCCCATTTTTATTCTAATCATTTTTTATTTTTTTAGTAATGATCCATCAAGAAGTTTTTTTTTTATTATTTGCTACTCCTTTATAGTAATAATATAAACTACATTCAGTTTGACCAAAATCATAAAACGTCCAAAGAACTTTACAAAGTTAAAGTAGCTTAGAACTGGAATGGATGGAAATGGCAAAATGTATGACCAAAATAAAAAAAATATTGTGTCTACTAAAATATAAATTTGCTTGTTATTAAAGGAACACTATAGTATCAGAAGTAAAAACATGTATTCCTGACACTATACATTACAAAAAAGAGAATAAAGTGATTTATTATTATTATTACTGGTATTTATATAGCGCCAGCATATTCTGTAGCGCTTTACTATAGTCTAAATAGCTGTTTAATCCTCCCTTGCTCACCCTTGTCCACGGTTAAAAAGGTTATTTACTTTTTAACCGCCTCTTTGGCTGAGATCATCAAACTTGAGCATAGGAAAGCATTGGGAGACTATCGCGCATGCGTGGCAAAACGCCGCTCTGCACCAATCAGCTTCTCCTCATTGAGATACATTGACTCAAGCCATCTGTACGTGGAAAGTTCAGAGCCTCCGTGTAGTGTGGAGACACTGAACGTCAGTGCGGCAAATTGTACAGCACTGATCCAAGGAGCACCTCTAGTGGCTGTCTGAGTGACTGCTACTATGGGTGTTAAAAGGCAGTAATGTACACATTACCTTTTCTCTGAAAAGGCAGTGATTACTTTAAAATGCCAGCAGGGACATGCTATACAAACCAGAACCACTACATGAAGATGTAGTTGTTCTGGTGACTATAGTGTCCCTTTAAGTTTGTTAAAATAGTCAGTCATCATAACCATAATCAGGTCACATGTTTTTTTTAATCTGATTTATGCAAAAGTTTCTGGTTTGTAGACAACCATTGGAAAGCATTTCTTGCTGCAGAAGCAGGGATGATCTTTTACAGATGTAATACAACTGGCCTGTATCTGCTGTCATTGTACAGGTGTCATGCACTGGATATCTTACCTGTAAGCTGCCACTTCCAGGCTGAGTCCAGTCTTGACTTGCATCAGTTCATGATACTCTTTAAGGCGTTCAGTAATGGTTATAGTTATATCATTTCTCTCAACCTCTAACTCTTCTATTATGATCTATGGGGAATAAAAGAGACAGTCAAAAAAATGCGCCATAAGAATGTGTAATGTCAAAATAATATGACTCATAAACTACTGCTGAACTGCTCCATACATGGTCCTAATATTCGCAGCTTGAGTGTGTCCAGATGTGGGACACCAAGAAATTAAAGCGGGACGGCAGACAGCACCCCAAAATTGTGACTGTCCTTCCAAAAGCAGGACAGATAGGAGGCATGTGATATTATATGCTATACACATTACATTATATCAATGGATTAATAGGAGCACTATAGGGTCAGGAACACAAACATGTATTCCTGACCCTGTAGTGTTAAAACCACTATCTAGCCCCCTTGGCCCCCTTTGCCTCCCTGAAAATAGTAAAATCTTACTTGTATTCAAGTCTGAAGCTGCTGCCTCTGCCTGACCTCTGATAAACTTCCACTGACCTCTGATATCATCAGTAAGGAACACATCAACTTTTTAGATCTCAGTATTTTTATTAAGAAAGGGCAAATACACACTAAGACGTTTTTTTAAGAAAGTTTGTGTTAACACTGCCATAAACAAATCCAGTTGCCATTATCAACCTTGGCTGGACAGTGCTCCCAAGAGCCAATTTTTACGTCTCTGGAGAAATTGTTCGGAATTATATGATTTTAATGAACAAGCAGAATTTAAAAAAAATAAATTAATGGAAAAAAAAATTCAGAACTCGTTTTAACAGACACAATTAACAACATCCAACAGAAAGATAGAGATCAACTTTTAACCTATAAAACAAAAAATACAGAAGGACCTATGCCTCTGCCTATTATCTTTAATTTTAACAATAAAAGTGGAAACATAAAAAGGATAATAAAAAAGCATTGGCACATCTTAAAAGAGGATGACATTCTCAATAAAATTTTACCCAAACATCCAAATGTAGTTTTTAGAGGAGCTCCTAATTTTAAATCTATTTTAACCAAAATTTTTACCAGAGAAACTAATAAAAAAAATCCATATCTCTGTTCCGCCAAATTAAAGTTTTTTTTAAACGCAAAACATGTATAGTATGTAAAACCACTGACCCTACAGTGCCATCTAAAATAACCACTTTTACCTCCAATGTGACAAAAAAGGTTTATAAGGTGAACGATTTCATTAATTGCAGTACGAAAAATGTAATTTACTTGCTCGAATGCCCTTGTGGCCTCCAGTATGTTGGAATGACCACAAGGTGCCTGAAAACAAGATTGAGCGAGCATTGCAGAAATATTAAAAATGGATATCTGAATCATTCAGTATCCAAACATTTTATTCAACATAATAAAGATCCTAAATTGTTAAAGTGTATGGGAATAAAAAAATGTACTATTCCCTGGAGAGGTGGTGATATTAAAAACATACTTGGGAGAACTGAAATGGAATGGGTGTATAATGTCCAGACCCTTATACCCCATGGTTTATATGCCGATTTTGATTTATACAATTTTTTATAATCTGTTATCTCATCTCTATATACAATTTTTAATTTTATTTCATTTTTTACTGCCCTTTCCATGTCATTTTAGATTTCTCCCATATGTTTTTAACATATTTAATATATTTTTTTTATTATTCATTATTTTTTATATAACAGTGCCTCTTATACCAAGACATATGTCTAATTTTTATTGTCCAATTTTTATTGTCCATTTGTTTATTTTTTATATAATAGTGCCTCTTATATTGAGGCATATGTCTAATTTTCTAATTTTATTCCTATTGTCCTTTTTGCCGCCGTTCTGCGGCTCATTTACCGTCCCCCTCCCGCCCACTTTCTTGCCTAATGGTCCTTAAGACCTATTAGGCGTGCCCCCTTTTTATTCCCCTCTTTGTCTTGCTGGCCGCAATATTTGCGGCTTGTATACCGCTCCCGTCCCGCCCACCTATGCGCCTATTGGTCTAATTGACCTACTAGGCGCACCCCTTTTTATTTCCCTCCTTGTCACGCCGGCCGCAATACTATGCGTGCCGACGTGCACCTCCCCATTCTGGGACGCGCGCATGCGCCGAATTTAACTACATCCCCCATACTCCTTTGTGGTCTCACGAAAGTCACGTGACCGGAACAACACTCAATGTTATATAAACTTACGCTCGTTTTTTACTTTTAAACACTACATGTAATTGTGTGTATCATAAATTTTATATAACCATTACAAAAATAGGTATTTTTAAAGTTGTATTTTGTTCTTACTAATTCCTGTATTCTGATTGGTTGCCTTTAGTTTTGGCGTCAATTTCAATTAATTATACCCTTATTTAAAGAAACCTTGACAGGTATTATGTTTATTTCCATATTGATAAAGCCTTATTGGTGAAACGCGTTTGTGGATACTATATTTGTGTATTTTAATCTATTAAAGATTTTTTTGGCTACTTTTTATTTGTACCAATTATCTTTTATATACACTTTATACATATATTTTTATTTTTATCTTCTACCTGGCATTTTATTCTTCTGGACTCCAAGTAATCCTGAGGTGGGGATCATACCACCGACGCTGTTGCTAAGGAGCAGTTTGCCTGTTCCACTCTTGTGAGTACCCTTGCATTTTAAATTATTTTATTAATTTTAACCAGTGAGCACTACTCCTTTTCTCTCTATTTTATTTAAGAAGAAGTCTGCACCATATCCCATAAGCGGGGATCATACCGCTGTACGCCTTTTACACTAAGAGCTAGTTAAAAGCTCTACTACACGTGAGTGCATTACTTCTCTTCCCTTTTATCTTCTATATCATATTAGACGTACTACACCATTTGGTTTCTGTATCTGTTTTATCGTTCCATGCTACTGGATCTCCCTGAAGAAGAACATTGAGGACATTACCTCTGGACAAGCACTTTTCAGAACCAGCACTTTATGGACTATATGATCTATAGAATCTCTTTTTACAGCTAAGACTTTTAATTCATATTTTTATCTATTTGGTCTATTTTAGTGCAACCTTTATCTTTGTTTGTTTTTCATCAGAAGTGGTGGCCTGATCCAATCACAATGCTTCCCCATAGGATTGGCTGAGACTGACAAAGAGGCAGATCAGGGGCAGAGCCAGTATGATTCAAACACAGCCCTGGCCAATCAGCATCCTTCATAGAGATAAATTGAATCAATGAATCTTTATGAGGAAAGTTCAGTGTCTGCATGCAGTGGGAGGAGACACTGAATGTTTGGATGCATTTTAGGCAGCCATGACCCAGGAAGGATCTCTAACAGCTATCTGAGGAGTGGCCAGTGAAGTTATCACTAGGCTGTAATGTAAATACTGCATTTTCTCTGAAAAGACAGTGTTTACAGCAAAAAGCCTGAAGATAATGATTCTACGCACCAGAACAAATTCAATAAGCTGTAGTTGTTCTGGTGACTATAGTGTCCCTTTAAAGGTGTATAGATGGTGTATAGATTATGTCACTGCAGTCTCACTGTTCAATTCTCTGTCATAAAGGAGTTAAATCACTTTGTTTATGCAGCCACAGTCACATCTCCCTGCATGTGACCTACACAGCCTTCCTAAACACTTCCTGTAAAGATTCATCTGATGTTTATACTTCCTTTATTGCCAATTCTATCTAATGTATTACTTTTGCCAAAAACAACAGCCATGTTTTCCAGGTGCAGAATGTATGTACTTAAAGTTCAATTGAAAGAACAGGAAATAAAACTTTTAAAGTAAGTAGTGTCTGATTGAAAATAGAACCATTTAGTTTGTGTGACTAGGGCTGCATAAACAGAAACAAAAGTGATTTAACTCCTAAATGGCTGTGAATTGAGCTGTGAGACTTCATAGGCATGATCTATACACCAAAACTGCTTCATTAAGCTAAAGTTGTGTGACTGTAGTGTCCCTTTAAGTCATTGTAGTGCACTTCTTCATGTAATAATTTCCATTGAAAAATTTTTTTAATACCTGTATAACTGCACACTATGTGACAAAATGCAATATATGGCTGACATAAAAAAATCCAGGGCTGCTTTTTATTCTCCGTCCAACCTCGATAGGAGATTGGTGCGGTACACAAGGGCCATGACTTCTGCTACTGATCAAGCAAATTAGAGTGGCAGAAAAAAGGAGAAGTGAAATAGAACATGTTCCCAACGCAACAGAGAGATTGATAAATCTGTTGTGTTGCCTAGAAAATGGTGTATATTCAAAAATGATGGTTAAAGAGGCACTATAGTGTCAGGAACACAAACGTAATTCCTGACACTATAGTTCTAAAACCACAGTTTATGTGATTGGCCCTCCTTACCACGGGTTAGAAAGGTGATCTACTTACCTTTTTCCAGTGCTGCGCCGTGCTGCTCATGTCTGGCCCGTCCCCAATCCATCTCCTTTGCTAACATTGTTAGAATTGATGATCTCAGCCAATCACAATGCTTTCCCATAGGAAAAACCTCTTGCTTCAATTAAGGTAAGCAAAGAGAAATGAAAGCTTTCTCCCTGACTATTAGAATTGAGGTTATCGGCCTTTAAAAACAACAGCCATGTTCGTGTAGTGGTATTACTGGTATTTCTTTTTCACAAAACATGGCAACTTTGACAGAGACTTAATTAAGTTGCTGGCACATAGCCTAACTTTTCGGCTGCAATGGGCAGAGTTCCACATTCCCCACTTAAACCAGTTGTCAGCTTGGAAGGATCCCCCTAGTTTTTCAAAACCACTGTAGTCATATAATACCTAGCATGACATATCCGTCTTAGTGTATCTCAGTGATAGATATTGAGATATGAATATTTGCAATGGACTGTCACATGTCAATACAGAGAAAAATGCAAAATTGGGCTTTACAAAACTATTTTCCTGAACAGTTTTCTCAAATATGAAAAGCACCACTCATCTTATATTAAGTAAAGGGTTACTGCAAGCATTATAACCGCTGGAGGCTGCTGTAGTGGTTATGATACCAGGATTAGCTTGGCTCCATTTCTCATTTACGGGGCAAAAGGTTTTGCAATGGATTGCCTTCTTACCTGGATCCCAGCGGATCAACCAGTGACAATGTTTGGTTTCTGCAGATATGCAGATGCTGTACGTTGATCCTGCTGACCATTCACTGGCTGAAAGTGTCAGCTGGCTCATGAATGCCAATGAATGCAATTATTTATATAGAAATATGCACATATTTGAGATTAGCCAGTTCGGAACTCTTGTTCCTGTAATAATTTTATTGTCTGGAGTAGCCCATTAAGTTTTTAATATAAATCAATGATTTGAATTGCAATTTTAGCAAACTGCAGTCAAGGTAACTGCAGCTAAGAAAGTTAAAGCATTCAAGAGAGAGCAGAGGGTCTTATGATAGCTGAACATAGTCTGAGATAAATAAACAATCAACTGGACTACTCATAAATGATAGTAGCCACTGCATGGCTGCTATATTTTTTTTTTAAGCAATTACCCTTATCCTACTTATTAAAAAAAAAATATTAAAATAAATATATTTCCACAATTTTAATAGTTGACGTTGATCTTTGCCAAAAAATATTTTATAGATTACATACCTCTTTTTTTTTTTACAAGATCGGAAATAATAGAAATTAAGCAGAAATTGATTTTTACAGTATACGTAACAAAAACAAAACAAAAGAAAAACGCTAAACAAAAGACTAAAATGGTCATACAACTTGTATATGTACGTGATGTATGGTCCATATGCAGTAAGTGCAATTTCAACAGATGTCTATCCTAGCCCCCCATCCACCCAGTTACTACTAAATTGCAGCCATCTGTCCTTCCAAAGTTGCTGTAGACTATGAAATGACAAGTGTTTTTTTATGTCCCTCTGCAGAGATACAGAGGGGCAGAATTTGGCAAAGGATACGTTTCTCTTAGCGAGGGCCGAGGTGGGGAAGGTAAATTAGGCTTTGTGGGCTACATGTATGTACATGAGGATTAAGTTGTGTCATATGAGAGTGGCAGGGTAAATCCCATGCCCATTGTGAACTAAGGACTTATGTCCAATGTTGTAACAGCTGATAGAAAACCTCTGCACCCCCTGCTAATACTCTCTGTGTTTTCGCATTCAGCTATTAGTCGCCCAGATGTAAAACACTAAAAGTTGCACTTTCTAAGTCATCATGATATCCACCACAACTGGGCGGTAAGGGCTGTGGAATAGTTGGCACCATTTAAATGATATTAATAATAAACCGGTGATCCTGTGCATATTAGTTGCTTGTCTTTTTAACACAGCACTTTTGTATAAATAATATAATATAATGTAACATTTAAAATTAACAACCAGTTATGGAAGTATACAAAGTAATTTGGGCATAACTTATTTGAATATAATTGTTTTTTTTTTTTTATAAACACAAAGTACATGATACAACGTTTTTTAGTTGGATTACTCAAACACCCTCCATCCCCACCCCAGTAGAGTCCACACCCCTGTAAACAAGGATGGACAATATCCAAGTACATTGGCAGTTTCAGAAGTTACACATTTTCCTAAGCTTAACATTCTAAACTTGGAGAATGATTAAATTGGTATGGCATTGAATGTGGCGTAATCCTGCTCAGTATACGATATGAATATTCTTTATATAGGACTTGCTCTCTGAGTCATTGAAGAGCTGCCTTTGGCTGCAATTTTTCAGAAGCTCTTAAACACTAATGCTTAATCAATTAATAATAAATCTAAATGGATTCCAAAGTTGTTCTATGACCCAGAAAGAGAAATACGTATTACTGATACTTATGAGTTTTCTTTTTAATGAAATCAATAAATACCACCAAAAGGATTTAGAATGTTAGCTGTAAAATAGACAGACAGGGAGACTGGTAGTGGTAGATACATGCCTCACAACTCTCCCACTTTTGGTGGGACAGTCTCAATTTTAGGGTCATGATTTCCAGCATGCAGTGTGAACAGATGACAAATGTAATTTTTGCACAGAATTTATAAAGGGCAGTCTGGAACAGACTTCTTATGTCACGCTGGTGCACCTAGCCCCTGGCACAATAGTGAAGATATCTTAGTATGTGCAGTGTGGCAAGCAGAAACACTGCACATACAGTTCCTACCAGTATGACCACTTCTAAAAGCAAAAATGGTAATGGTGGTTGGAGTAACCCTTTCATACATTGGACCTAAAAAGTGCTAAGTCTTATCAGCAGAAACATTCCATTGATTCACAACAGTGCCCTCTACCTTTTGTATTAGTCGGTTTTTATTGTTTTGTCTTTTTCCTAATTGTACAGTGCCGTGGAATATGTTGGCACTTTATATATGCCAGTAATAAAATTAATATATTTATTAAGTAGTTACTCTATAAGTTCCCTACGTACTTTTATGCATTATATAGATCAGAACTTCTTAAAAGGACATTAGGCACCCAGACCACTTCATCTCAATGAAGTGGTCTGGGTGCCATGTCCCTTATGTTTTAACTTTGCAACTGAAAACATTGCCACTTTGAAGAAACAGCGATGTTTTGATTGCTGGATTAACCTATTGATCCGAAAAAGTCTGGGAGGTAGGAAGGAGAAAGGCATGGCGAAGGCCGAGAACTAAGTATATCTCACCTTTCAAACTCTCACATGACGGAGTGCACCTTAATAGGTATTTAATAACTGCAACGTTAGGGGATTCATGTCTGTATTCCTAATGCTATAGTGTTCCTTTAACCTTTTATTTGACAGGGCCCTAAATAATGTACATGGCATTTACTTAGTAACCCATTATTCAATTAGAAAATTAACTCAATGACTCATTTTACAAGTGTAATAAAGTTCACATTAAACAGTTTAATTAAATTATTCCCATTATCAAAGCCGTCCCTTCTGGATGGAGAATAATATTGAGTGCATAAAAAAATATGCAAAAGGTCACTTGACACATTCTGACGCAGGTCCCTAATGGCAAGGCTAGTCTCTCTTATGGTGACATTTTTTTTTAAATGCAATCCTCATGGACTCACTACTGCTTATTGGTGGACATCCTCAAACACATTTTGAGACTACTCATGGTGAGCTCAAAACAGCCACTCTTTACACAGCTGGATAAATCAAAAAAGAAGAGTCTGATTACTCAGAGTAGCATGCTCAGTGTCAATCACAAAAACACACCACAGTGAATGATTGGACCAGTAAGTCTATCTGGCCATGGATTTTTTCCAACCCAGAGGGTCTTCTTCACATCTGTGGAATATCCAGTTACATCATTAATGAATCATTGCGGAAGTTCATCCATGGACATTTAAAGGGCTTTGTATAGTGCTTCCTTTTACCTAATTAGTAAGTATATGGTCACTCATTTTGGCCCTAACTGGGAAACGGGTTCTAATGGTGCAAATTAAGTAATTATTTAATCATGGTACTTTTGTGCTCAGGAGACCATGATGAAAGAGCTCCGTTACTTAGATAGTAAAAAGTTACATTTGTCACTTTGCAACAAATTCATTTTTTTTCTTGAGAAATAAAGAGCTATATGCTAACTAGGTCAGCAGAATAGAGAAAGGGTTAAGAATACATTGGCATAAAATTTGTTTATCAAGAAAAAAAATGTGTGAATGCAGGTCACATGACCAGCTGGAACAGGTTTCTGTGACAGATAAGAAATGTAATAATAATATTTGATGCTATAAATTGGGCAGAAGTTGTAAAGCTGCAGATATTGGGTAAAATACAAACATCGTCAGCTCTTGCAATAAATGAATTAGCAGTATAAATGATAACTCCCTTTATATTGTTAGATTATAGGCAGGTCCCTCAGATCCTTGCCTGTGTATGTCTCTGTAAAACTATTTGGTTATTTCAGTTACTGAATGTATGGGGCTCTGTGGAATTTGTTAGTGTTCTATTACTGAATTATCACAAATAAATATATAATATGGTGTTCTACAATATGAGAACTCCTAACTCATCATTTCAGCATTTGTCCATAAAAGGGTAAATATATATATATATATATATATATATATATATATATATATGATCCATTTTTAATCTATGAGTTTTAGGAGCCTAAAGCTCATGGGTAATTAAGTGAAAACACGCAAAACATAAATTGTTCAACCATTTAATCACGGAGGCAACTGTTGTCTGAACCAAAACAAAACCAATACCTGTGCATAGGGTTCCCAGTTACTTTTTCCCATGGAACCCTTTGACATAGTGTATCAACATCTGTGTATCTGTGCGTGTGTGTATCTGTGTGTCAAGGTGTGTGTATCTGTGTTTGTACGTGCCGGTGTGTGTATCTGTGTGTGTGTGTGTATGTATCTGACACACAGATACACACACACACTGGCATATAGTGGCACACAGATGCACACACTGACACACAGATACACACACCTTGACACACAGTGTGTATCTGTGTTTGTGTGTATGTATCTGTGTGTCAAGGTGTGTGTATCTGTGTGTCAGTGTGTATCTGTGTGTCAGTGTACACAGATACACACACACACTGGCACATGCACACACACACACACACACACACACACACAGTGGCAGATACACACTGGGACATACACACACTGGCACATACACACTGACACACATATATACACACACAGTGACACATACACACCTTGACACACAGATACACAAACTGGCACATACACACACAGATTTACACACATTGGCAGATACACACACATACACACACAGACACATATGTTTAACCTTTTTTCTTAATTCGGTGCTGCAGGCTGAGGATGGTGTGCCAGGTCGACAGCTACTCACTCCCTCACTCCCTCTCCCTCCAGCCGGCACGCTTTGTCTGGGAGGAAGTGCTGTCACTTATTCCCAGCATCCCATACAACAGGGGTCCGTTCTTAGACGCCCGCAGCGCCTGACCAGACCCCTGTTTAGCAATATCCATCGAGCAAATCGCCGCAGAACCCCAATTTTGTTCTCGCGGAACAATAATTGGGAAACGCTGCTCTAGATTATTCACTTGGTTTATCTAACAGATTGTAATAATTTACAATGCTAAGTTAAATTAAATATATCAAAGCATAGGTATTACTAAATTGTTAAAAAGGCAAAAATGGTAACAATGTATACACATCAAATGCAATTCTCTACTCACAAGAGTCCTATTAGACAATACCAAAATAAATCATAAATTTGAGAAGAGTCTCTGAAACTAGTCTAAGTAGTACATATGTTTATCTGCCATGTTACGATTAGAGCAGGGCCCACCCATATCGGGAAATTAGTCACAATAAACCTATAACAATTCTCATTCCTACTGAACTGCATGACCTTCCACAGTCTGAATTCTACTTTTCCAAGCAGCTTCTTTGCTATGTCCTGGCCCACCTCACCACTCAAATGCAGTAACCAGCCATTGAAATACAGAAGATCCTTAATATATCAGGACACCATATCCATTTTTTACCCCTCCATGATTGACATTTTATTTGAGCTTATTTGCTTTGCCAGCCTATACCATTAAATAGAAGCCTTACCTGGGCAACACTCTTAGTAGGGACTACTGGACTGATATCTTCACTTCTGTCCATTTTGTGGTGACACATGTAATGATTAAATTAAACCGGTATTATAGAATAAGTAGGTATCTGGTATCATACTATTGTACAGCAAAACCCCATGTACCTGATGGTTTCGTACTAGAGTTTGTTCCAAAATTGGTACATACTGAAATATATAGTGGTGCCCTCCCCAATTTCGGCCTTTTAGAGTATTTTTTAAAATGTAGAGGAAATGGTGCGAATCTAAATATTAATAGGTCACCGTAACTCACCAATTCAACCACCTAAAAAATGAATTAGTCTTTTGGGTCTGCATGGCAGCTAAGACAGTAATTGGAAAACTTTCAAAACACCCACAAATGCATGGGCCGAAGCAACGTCTGGTTTAGTATCTCTAGAAGGTTACTGCTGCCATTAGTGTCAAGATTAATTATTTTCTTAAAGTTTAGGCTCCGCGGCTGGAGAAGAATTAGTAAAATTAATCCACCACCTCTCTGCTCACTGAGCATTGGCTCTTTCATACTCGACCCACGGTTCTGGTGGTTTTGAGCCCTTGTGTATTTTTCTCTATTGTTCCAGTCCTCCACTTTCTCTCACCTCCATTACTCCTTCTCTTCAGTTTTACCTCTCCCATTGCACCGAACATTATATAAAGATTTTATTGCTCCACATGCATCACTGTTTCTTGACATATTCCAGCTACTTTCCAAATTCATAGTGACACTAATTGAGTCATTTTTGTTTTTATAAAAGTAGCTGACCGTGCATTAGGTGTTATCTCACAAAAATGTGATACTTCATTGCCACATATGATGTAAAAACAATACTCTGACTTTTCAATTTATGGTAAAGTTACAGAAACTGGAGAGGATATAATCTGTTTTCTTTATTTTCCATCCTCCTCTAAATGTTCCACATGACATCGGCTCACCAATTATTTATGTGGATTATCTTATTCCCTATGGAAATGATGTCACTAGAACCCACAAAGCACGGCAAGAAAATTAGAATTTTTAATCAGGTATCATCTGAAAAATGCTTGTCGGGAAAAATTGAGAGAATGTGTTACTTCCAGAAACACACTCGTGAATTCTGAAAGTTAACATCTGGACAAATGCAGGATAGAGGAATCTGGAGCCAAACCAAACATTTTTGCTACTGAGAACTCTGGGTCATAAACTCAGTTAATTGCTTTTTAAAGATATGATGCTTATTAACGAAAAAGTGTAGAAGCTGAGCTGCAAGGCAGACACATTCTGCAGGGGTCTCTTTCATATCTTGGAGAAATCCTACAGCATCTATTCACTAACCTAAATGCTTTCATTTAGCTAAACAGAACTAAACTTTGAAAGTCAGCTGTGAATTTTTCAAACTTATATTGGTCTTTATCCGCTGTACCAAATTCACTTTCTGTAGTGTCACCTCTCTGATGGACAGAAGCAATTACAATGATCACTTCTTCATGTCCCGGCAGGTTCTTGTGTCTAAAGATTTCCTGCACACCTTTGAAGGAACAGTCCAGCTACTGTTACCACTAGAGTCCTCTACTGTGGTTATGGTGTCAGGAATGATCTGTGCCCTCCTCTGTAAGTAGTCAAATGTTTTGAGAATTTACCTGGGGTCTGCAAAGAGCCAGTCACTGCCTGCTCTAGAGCTAACTCTCTTGCAAGGAGCTTCTGTAAACTCCACTGAGCTAATCCCTATAGTGCAGTGGTTTCCAACTCAGTCCACTTAGGGACTACATAGTTGTGTTTAAGGTGTTTCTAGAAAAAGAAAAGAAAAACACTTTAGACACAACAGGGTAATCCCTAAATCCTGGACTGGTGGGGGGTACTTTAGGACTAGGTTGGGAACCACTGCTATAGTGCATGGCTGACTCATTGGCTTAGAGTGGAAGATAAGACAAATATCCAAGCATACCTGAGGTTTCTTCTAAAAGGCAGTCTTTTATTAGGAACAACAAGTAGAGACAACATTTCGGCTTCTCTCTGAACCTTTATCAAGTCTCTTGGCTTAGGCTTTGGCTTAGAGTGTCAGCTGAGTGCTCTCTTCCAATGAGCTCTGTGTAGGAGATTCTGGGACAGAAGACGTAGCGGACACCTGGTAGACAATTAATCAAACTGTTCAAACTGTTTGACAACGTACCCTGGGTGAGCATCAAGGCTGTCCTGGAATCAAAACCACTTTGGAATGTTCAGGAGACTGGTAATACTTGCAACAAATACATCACTTCAATCAGGCTGCTTTCTACAAGCCATGAATAATGGTGAAATTGACAGCTCTGAGCACATTACAGAACTTCTTTGCAGGCTGCAAATTTAGAGCTCCTGAGAAAACCCTTAGGGTCTAGTCAACCCAATCTCATGGCAATTTAGGACTGACTGAAATTTAGAATTTACAGCTCATTCAGACAATTTCACAGGTGTCAATGTCATTGGTGTTCTGCTCATTGACCTGAGTCTCTGACTTAGGTGCAACTGCATATATACTGCCCCGAAACGCGCGTCAGGTTCTTACCTATGCGTCAAATTTAACTTGCACACACATGGGCACTTCACTGCACTGTGTAAAACACGTTTTTGTTATGATTTGAGTTTTTCCTTTCAGTTTGTTTCTTCTATGCCTATTTAGTAAGTTTAACAGGGAGAGAGGCTTTCTCTACTTTACTTTACTTTATTTGTCCTACTTTTGATCATTAGCGCTGCTGATCCTTTAGACAGTAACTTTTCTCCCTTTAGCATTAGCTCAGGAATTAAGGGGAGATCTACTAACACCCTATGCATTAAAAGGCCAGGACTAATTAAGCCTATATGTATATTGCAGATTTAGGTGTTTAGCACTTTATCTCCTCACTTACTTAGGCATGGGAGTTTGTTATGATTTTTGATTTACATTTTTTCTTCTATGCCTATTTAATAAGTCTCACAAGGAGAGAGGCTTTCTTTATTTTACTCTATCCATCTGTCTACTTTTGATTATTAGGGCTGCCAATATTTTTGACAGTGACCTTTCTCCCTTTAGCACTTTTTTTTGGTGCTTAGGTACTAAGGGGAGATTTACTAACACCCTATGCATTAAAGGGCCAGGACTAATAAAGCCTATATGAATATTGCAGGCTTCGGTGTTTAGTAACTTTATCTCCTTACTTACTTAGGCATGGGAGTAGCCCTATAAGGCTAGTTCGTTATTTATTATTTGGAGTTAGTTTATTTCTGTGTTCATACTTTCTGTTCCTTCAGATATTTAGTGGTCTCCCTCTGGTTACATTGTTCCATACCACTGTATGCTTTGGTGCCTGCGTCTTTATCCCCAGCCAGCATTATATTCAGTTTGTGAATTTTTGCTTCTTTGTTTCTGTTGCTAGTATCTAGAGTTAAGCCCTTGGGCATTGCTGGAGTGCCCTCTTGGTGCATGGGATCAGTGTGGAGGTGGTTCTTATTCCCTTTTACACCCACCCATTGTACAGCGCTATGGAATTTGATGGCGCTATATAAATAATAAAATAATAATAATAATTTTCACACGGATTCCATTTCTTTCAATTTTTTCTGTGTTCTGCTCTTTTACTCGGTTTTGGCTGCACCCCCTTGAAAACTTTTGAAAAAAAGAGGACACACTTTTCAAACATAAATCACTTCAGCAAGTTGAAGTACCTTAGGGGTCTAGAGTGTCCCTTTAACTTTAAGAAAGACTATTGAAGATGTGTTTGTGCTACTGTTGTATCATCATAAAGAAACATAAGTGCTATGCAGGGGACTAAATGTCTGCTCCGTGCAATGTGACACCATGCACATACGTTACTTTGGTCGGGCAGAACAGTAAGAACACTATTAGTGTCAGCGGTAACATTTTATGAGACATGCTGAGACATGTGGTATTCTAAAGGATTGATTTAAAAGGCTAGATTATAAGAAACTAAATCCAGCATTAGACCTATGATCTTTCTGTGTTGACCCATTAAAGACTCCAAATATTTACGTTGTGCAACAAATGATGGGCCTTGGCACATCAATGTATGGCATGAAATGACTGCAGTACTTTGCTATTTTGTAGCCAGACAGAGCTAATCCATGTGTTACTGTGTTGTATCTTGATTTAATAAGAATTTGCATTAGGGTGGTATGGGATGTATACATTACTAAACTAAAGGTTCATATACTAAACACTATAAGCCTCATAGGCAAATATGAGTGCATCTGTCATGGGACGCATTGTTTTTGATGGACAATTTGCACCAGTCAATAAGGATGGCATACCTCCCAACTGTCCCTGTTTAGAAGGGACAGTCCCCATTTTGGGTAGAAATTGCTATGTCCTTCTATTTTATATAAATACCCTGCTTTTCTAGATGCTCAGTATTATGGGTGTTTCTGAGTTTATACCAGAGCTCCAAAGCAATAATACTCACAGTAATGTGTCTTTAAACTACAATAAATGTATTTAGAAGTCAGTCTGTGCAAATAGGATACATTGTTCTTGCTCTAAATTACATTTTAGTTGCATACATTGTTATTAGTAATTCTCAATTTTTTTTAGGATATCTTCAACCCTGGACATCACCCACTCACACTAGCTACAACTAAAGCATCTCCTTTGTACATTTGAAATGTTAAGGACAAGTCTGAATTTACCCTCTGTGTTGCCCCAAGGCCAGTAGTTGCCACTGATTGAAGACTAGCAATGGGCTCATGATAACTATAGCAGAGCAAGAACAGTCATGTCCGCAGTAATGTGTGGAGCTCCTCAGCAATACAGGCAGCAATAATGTATGGTGTTTCAGTGTACCACAGCGCTGCATACCAGTATACCTCAGCCAAGTGCAGCGTGCAAGACTATATCGCAGAGCTACTCTGAGTCAATGTGGTTGAGTGTGAAATGTGTGTGTTGTGTGTCTGGTCGGCTGAATGTTGTTAGGTTGGCTGAGTATGATGCACTTGTGTTTTATGTGTGGTTGACTGAATGTGATGTGTGTTGAGATTTGCTGAATGTGAGTGTATGTGATTGTAATAGCTCTTTACCCGTTCTTTCCATTTATATCTAACTCCATCTCTTACCATCCCACTTCTCCCTGGTCTTCAACCACCTGTCTCTTCATTGGTGTCTTTCATGCATCTATTCTACCCCTGCCCTCCCCCATTTTTGTCTCTTATTACCCCCACACCTGCAGTGTCATCAGCATATCCCTTATCAGTCTATCCCACATCTACACCCCTACTTCTCTCTCCTCCATGCCTGCTCTCTCACCAGCTCATTCACCAGCCTCTGCTCTCTACTAGCTCTCTCACCAGCCTCTGCTCTCTAATAGCTCATTCACCAGTCTCTGCTCTCTACTAGCTCATTCACCAGCCTCTGCTCTCTACTAGCCCATTCATCAGCCTATGTTCTCTATTTCTTCCTTCAACAGCCTCTGCTTCATATTGCCCCCTTATCAGCCTCTTCCCATATCTGCCCCTCGCAAGTCTCTGCTTATGCATGCCAATTTACCATTCTTTGTTTCTGTTTATGTAGCCCTAGCCACACTTCCCCTGGCTGTGAGTGACACAACCTGCATGAAAACAAAATGGTTTCATTTTCAATAAGATATAACTTACTTTAAGTTTGTATCTCCTGCTCTGTAACTTGAACTTTAATTGCAAAACAGGAGACTCCTGCAGAATCGAGCAAGCTACTGACAGAGCAGGAGATAAGAAATTCTAAATAAAACAACATTTCAAAGGAAGTGTAAATATTAGATATTACTTTACTGGAAGAGTTTTGGAAGTCTGTATAAGTCACATGCAAGGAGTTGTGACTGGGGCAACATAAGCAAAGTGATTTAACTCTAAAATAGCAGAGAATTGAACAGTGAGATTACAGGGCATGAGCTATGTATCAAAACTGCTTCATTAAGCTAAAGTTGTTTTGTGACTATAGTGTCCCTTCAAAGGGTTATTCCAACCACCATGACCACTTCTGCTTTAAGTGGTAGAAGTCAATATGTGCATTATTTCTGCTTGAAAAAACTGTAAAAGTTAACAATAACCAAGATGAAACAGGAAATGGTAACATAATTTTTCAGATAAGAAAACTCTGGTAAACATGAACATAGAGGTTAGAAGTTTGAGAAGGAGGGTTAATTCACACTAATTAGGAGATCAATAATTAGGAGATAACCATAGTACTCTGTGTAGATGTGCATAGTGTGAAAGCATGACCCCCAAAGAATAGTGAGTTCTTTCTATGGTAGTGCGAGTAGTCAGATACAAGGGATAAGAAGAGGGCAGTGATTGGTATGGGTGAAATCAAGTCAGCATCTCAGTTCACACTTATGTTATTGGCTTAACTGTACTGATTATCTGCCAATCGGGAATATGTGTTGTGAATATGAGAGTTGTGGCCCTTAAAGGGTTTCTCCAAACTCCAATGCCAGTTCTACGTTAAGAAGGGGTCTCGGTAACAGCATTCCGTATGTGCAACGTTTCAGCTTGAAACACTGTCTTCACAGAGTGATCTGTCTATTTGTGCCACAGAGTAGTTACACATCGAGTACACATGACTTTGTCACCCAGAATTCTGTTCCAGACTGACTCTTGTGAGCTCTGTGCAAAAAACAGTCCGTAATTAGCACACACTGCTCGCTGGCGACAGTCACGATGAGCTTCTTCCCTTGTAAGCAGCACGCACAAAGTATTTATAACTGGCATAATCTAATATTCCTCCCTATCTTCTTTATGCCAGCCCTCGTAGCCTTTCTCTTTTCCCTGTGTTATATTTTATAGCTTTTCCCCATTACTTGTCCAACCCCCACCACCCTCTGTACAGCCCTCGCACCTTCCCCTCCTTGACGAATTGTGAAATAGCAGGTTTTAAAGGTGAGATGTGCTGTTACTCAGCTCATCTAGCTGCTTGTGAATGCACACACCGCATGCAAGTGTGGTGTTGTATTCACTGCTTCTGGATTGAATGCTTCTCTATCAGAAGAAACTGATAGGCAGGTCACGGTGCTTGGCGTGCATGTGCCCAAGGTCCAACAATGCTTCTCTGTGATGTTGGAGAACGTAATTTGATAAGAAAACGGAGGGAGGAGGCATAAGTGTACTTGTGTACAGTTAAAGCTAAAATAGAGAAACTTTTGAAACTTTTAAATAAGTTTGGAATAACCATTTCAGTTCTTTTGGTGTGCAGAGTCTTCCTTTAAAAGAAACTGTCACTTCAACATTAAGAATTGTAAATGATGCATCTAGTTACGCAGTCTACAATTTTGTAAATTGCAAAAAAAGTACAACAACTCACTGAAACCAAACAGAAATATGGCTATAAAAGGTGACCTTGTATTCCTTTAAATATATCTACAATAGTATTATGTTTGAGTTATGGTGAAGAACATAATGTTTATAGGTGTGACAAACATGATGATTGAAAGTGGTAGAATTGCAGTTGAAGATGAGCTGGAGAACGCAAACGGAATTTCAAATATAGTCTAAAAAAGCAAAACAAAAACATAACTGACAATTTTTTGATTTCAGATATTTTGGGCTAAAATTTTAATTGAATTCCTGGAAATTGACACCTTACTGAATAACTGTTTACGTCCGCACTAGATCCACAGGGGAGAAACCGTTTCCTAAGCATTTACATGAAATATCACACATGTTTCTTAACAGGAAACTTAATATGAACTAGTATCTTTTTGTCATTTCTGGGGACCTCCACATTGCACCCCAATGTATAATAAAGAGGTTTGAACTTTTTTCACTTACTTTCCTTGTGTTCAATGCTGGTTAGAGTAGACTATTTGAACTTACTGAATGCCAGAGGATGTGGACCACATAGGAGTTTTTAATGCAAAAATAAGGTTGAAGACCTAAAACTGGATAATGCAACAACTCTACTAACATAGGCCTCATGTAATTCTATTGCTATAAGCTTATCTGCAAGAAAAAAACGTTTCAGATGATTTACCTACAAAGATTTGTTAGGTTTAATTGTGACTAGTCTAGATATATCATTATAAAACATTTTATTTTCTAGAAGACTGTCATCATTTGTAAAGCTCATCCAAAATAATTAAATCAAGGCCATACAGTTAATTACATAAACTATATAAAGTCCTTGGACAAAGTGAAGGTGCTTTGTGGTTGATTCTCACAGTTCATTAGAACTTTCAAGAGAAAGTAAACAAAATGAGGAGAGGAATACAATCCAGTCAAGGAATGAGATAAAACAGCAGAAAATAAATAATAAATAATCTCCACCTGCATCATTATTAGATAAGTACTGAATGTTTATAGAGTGTATCTGACCTTAAACAATGGTCAAAACCAAAATGGTTACCTGTGCAAAAGCAGAGAATATCCTTGCTTATCCCATTAAACACCCTTGCCAATCACATGGTTCAAGCTTGCACAGTTCTAAATTTAAGTTAAATAAAATTCATGTTTAGTTTCCCTGTACCACTGGTGACAGCACACTGACCTGATATTCTTGTACATCTAGTCTATACTTCTCCTTCATCCTCAGCAGCTCTTCTTGCAACATCTTTTGGATGCCCATCAGCTCCTCATACTCTCTGCGCAACTCCACCACCTGAAGGCTGTAGACCCTGGTCTCCTCTTCCACCCCCTGCCTTTCCTCCTCACCCAGCCTCAGATGATTCTCCATTTCCTCAATTTTCTTCTGATAGAGCAGAAAGGAATCTTTCCAGGACTGCGAGAGCTCCAGAGAGATACTTTGTATATCCTGCAAGCTGAGTCTGGGGCTCCCTGTTTCATGCATGGCAATATGCAGTGGAACCTTCAGTACCTGTTCCCTCAGCTCCAGGAGCTCCTGGTAGTTTGAGCCTTGGAGCACCTGGCATTCCTGCTGGAGACGAATATAAAGTTCTTCCAGGGCAGCCTGGCTATTTCTTGCCTGCTGCAGATCCTGCTTGTAAAGTGCCAATTGCTTGTCAATGCCAATTCTCATGGCCCTCACTTGTTCCCATAGCTCCTGGAGGGTCTGCAGCTCCTGGCACAGATTTTCTTTCTGAATTTCTGCCTCACACTTTTCCACAGTCAGCTGCTCCACTTTTGTCCTCAGCTGGAATATTTCAGCATGGTACCCTTGTGCCCATTCTGCCCCCCTTTCCAGACGAAGTCTGTGTATCTCTTCCACCAGCAACTGGTTCTCTTCCTCCAGCTGTCTTACCCTGGAGAGGTACTGACCCAATCGGTTGTTCAATTCATGTAGCTGGGATTTCTCATCCCCAAACCCTCTGACATGTATCATTTTTGGAGAAAAAAAAAATCTTAACCCTCCTCTCTGATAAAAGATTGATGTGAACTATTTGTCCAATGCAGCTGTTGCTGTGTGAGTCCCTCAGTGAAGTGACACAGAATGAGCCTCTCTGGACTGTGGGTAATGACAATTAAGGAGGAGCTGTTTATTGGCAAAGAGCTCATGGACTGACCTACCCAAAAAGGGATGCAGCCCAAACACAAGAGAAAGGATGGCATTCCTCTGCTACGAGGATGCAGAGCCCTCTGCTGGAGACTTTACAGTCCAACAACGTAAAACAAAACAAAACTTGACAGACAGCAGGATTAACCCCTTCAGTACGGCGTCAATAGTGCACGTTCTGATCAAAACAAAACGTAAACAAAACCTGGAATTTGCGCTATATGTCTGTTCAACCGTAATTCGCCGCTGTCACATTAAGTGCACCCACACTTATTATATATCATTTTGTTCAGGAGAAACAGGGCTTTAATATATCATTAACTATTCATACATGGAACATAATTTATTATGAATAAAATTTAAAAAAATGTGAGAAAATACGTTTTTTTTTAAAATTTGTATTTCCGTCTGACATTTTAGCTGTGAATGTCATAATACTGTTAGGTTTTACTGCAAAAAAATGCACATATTTGTAATCAGCGATGTCTCACGAGTACAACAGTACCCCCCATTAACAGGTTTTATGATGTTTTGGAATGTTACAGGGTCAAATATAGAATGTTCCATTTTCCCATTGAAATTTGCCAGATTAGTAATGTTACCTTTGAGACGGTGTGGTAGCCCAGGAATGAGAATTACCCCCATAATGGCATACCATTTGAAAAAGTAGACAACCCAAGGTATTGCAAGTGGGGAATGTCCAGTCTTTCTTAGTAGCCACTTAGTCACAAATACTGGCCAAAGTTAGTGTTTATATTTGTTTTTGTGTGAAAAAAGCAAAAAACTAATATTTGGCCAGTGTTTGTGACTAAGTGGCTACTAAGAAAGACTGGACATACCCCACTTGCAATACCTTGGGTTGTCTACTTTTGCAAATGGTATGCCATCATGGGGGTAATTCTCATTCCTGGGCTACCATACGCTCTCAAAGGCAACATAACCAATCTGCCAAATTTCCATGTAAATAAAATGAAAGGCAAGCCTTATATGTGACTCTCTAACTTTCCAAAACACCATAAAACCTGTACATGGGGGGTACTGTTATTCTCAGGAGATTTCACTAAACACAAATATTAGTGTTTTAAAACAGTAAAACATATTACAACAATAATATAGTCCATAAAAGTGCCGTTTGCTTGGAAAAAAATGCAAAAAACTTAACTTTTACTTAAAATATCATCGTTTAATACCATTTACCAGTTTGAAACACTAATATCTGAGTTCAGCGAAGTCTCCTGAGTAAAACAGTACCCCCTATGTACAGGTTTTATTGTGTCTTGGAGAGTAACAGGGTCAAATATAGTGCTTGTGAATTAAATTCTCTGCACTTTCTCCCTGTGTTGTCAGGCATGTCAATCAAATTTTAATTAATCAAATCACGTAATTATGTTAAAAGATTACTTAAATATACATGTAGAATTTTAATATATATGCATTTAGAGGTATTTAAATTCTACGTGTATACTAATGTAATCTTTTATGTAATTATATGTATTTATCTATATATATATATTTGCGGTTGTTTGTATTTTATATATAGATTGATATATATAGTGTGATAAAGTGAAGGCAGATAGGCCTTTTAACCCCAGGGGGAGTATGTGTAGTTTGTGTGTGTTACACAAAGCATTGTTTAGTTATGGGCCCCTGGGGTGGAGCATTTGGAGAGAAGGGTGGGCCAGTGCTCCACTCCACAGTTTAGTGGTTTTCTGGGGAGACATAGATCCAGGCCAGGGTTTTTTGGACTGTCTCCAACCCACTGCACAGCTGCAGTTAATGAGCTGTTGCAGTGGGAATAAACTCCTCCCTGCTAGGCAGGTAAAGGAGAGGGATTGCTGGCTTCCTCCCAGGAAGCAGGTAGGAGAGAGAGGCTGTTCTCTCCAGATAGTCAATGAGACTAGGCACTTGGAGTGCAGAAAGGAAAGCAGTCAGGGCAAGGCTGGCTTGGAGCACTGGGAGTGCAGAAAGGAAAGCAACAGGTTAGATAGCAGAGTGTTGCTCTCTAATAAGGTTGGTGCAATATCGTTTTGTTTAGTTTAACCCTGAGAGATAGGGAACCTAATGTCAGTTAGTGCTCAGACGAGCTAGGTTTTTGTTTATAGGGTTTTCTGTTACATTTGTTTTCATTTACTGCTGTATCCTGTGTGAACTTACAAATAAAGTGCCTGGAGTATTTGCAATTACGAGGACTGTGCATGTTTTTGCCCTAGAGGACCGTGCTACCTGCTGACAAGGATCACAACAGAATGTATATATATCTATTATATATATATATATATATATATATATAATATATATATCTTATATATAACGTCATTCTAAGTGTATTTTAATACTAATATATGTACTTATATTAATTATAAAATACACTTTGTATGGGCGGGGCCTGACTGCAGAGCTGAGAGGACACTTGCCTCCATAGCTCCGGCTCAAGGGGACACATAAAGCGACGAAAAACACGCCAAACAACGAAAATTGGCAAACAAAGGCCACCCAGCAACAGGGGATATCGGGGAGCACACACTGATACTGCCCAAGCGACATTTCAAGTGACACGCACCCGACACCCTGATGCGGCCTAACAGCATGGTGAGTGCGGGAGAGACGGCCGCTCTCCTGCCGCCAAGAATGCCTGCAAGCACAATCCAGAACCCATGCCTCCCCCCCTATGGCCCGGCGGGGGTTATCCCGGGCCGCTGCCACAAGAATCCCTGGACAAGCAGCGCCCAAACGAGTCTCACGCAAAGCCAGCTGGCAAATCCTGTGGCCCACAAAATGGCAGACGACCGGAGCACCGCGGCCTTGCGGCATGCCAGCACAGAAACGGAGACTAGACTCGACTACATATTTGGCCTTTTCTGGGAGAAGCTAGAAGCGCTTATGGGGCCTCAGGAACTGAGGGAGCAGCCTGTCTGGGCACAACAGAGCCTGACTCAGAGGTTCAGAAGGAGGGAAGTGGAAAACCCCCGAAACTCCACTCCAAACACAGGCAAGCGTTGGCACAGGGCCACCCTGAAAACCATAGCTCAACCTACAATGAGGCCTGCACCGAGGCCTGCACCGAGGCCTACACCGAGGCCTACACCGAGGCCTACACCGAGGCCTGCAACAACGCCTACATTGAGTCCCACACCAAGGAAAGCAAGTAAGAGCCATCCCGAGAAGAAACAAAGAGGGGGAATGCAGAAGGCATCACGACTTCAAAAAAGCAGCCACGCAACCCACAAACACTTAACTGAATGCCAATCCATGCGAAGACGTGGCAAGTGCAGCCCACACCATCCGGCGGTGTGCGAAACCCCGTCCACGAGCATATCCCGAGCCGCTGACCGTGTCACCGACAGCTCTCAGATGCGGGACAACCTGGGACTGGATTGTACTGGGGACTGGAGCTGGTGGCGTAGCTATGCGGGGACACTGTCATTTAACACACCACCACAAAGGCAGCATGGGTTAGTGGGCATAGGCTGACCACCCCACTTGAGAGCAGGATTGGGCTACTACTCCCGTTAGGTCCCAGGTCTCATACCGGGCAATGTAGTGTACCCTGAACCAACATTAACCCACCTGTCTCTCTCTGAGATTTAATTTTTTCCTTTTTTTTTTTTTGTCTTTTCTTCCATTTTCTCCACACAGTTGGCACCGGTGGCAACATAACCTGTGATACTTTAGCATGATCTATAGAGCCACCTCTCCACCTACCATAGAGCCTAGAAAGATTTGTATACTCTGAGAACAGACATTACCGTTTAGCTCTAGGAAACGATCACTAAGCCTGTTACTAATCTTATCATTGCACCTTTTTACTCGTGTTTACCTTAGCATAATTCTCATGTCCTGTTTATCAACCTGATTCAACTATCTATGTGTACTTTAACTGCCGGGATCAACATGTCTAGCTTGTAGAAATCTTAATGTTCTTCATATATATGAGTATATAAATTGTCTCTCCACTACCATTTCGAGAGCTGCAGCGTGACATAGACCCCAGTGGTAACAAGCTACCATGTCTCATCTATACCATGCCTTGTTTAAGCTTCACTAGCACCCAACATGTCTAGCTTTTAAAATTGTCAGCAATACTGCTCCTTTTATTGCCCCAACATGTTGCATGCTCTTGCTTTGTCTTCCGGTAATTGCATAGCTAGCCATGGTGAACCAGCTTGACGTATACCTAACTGTTTTCTTCTTTTACCTTAAAAAATGTATGCAAACCTAACTAGCCACACACCTGTTATACCTATGTTCATTGAGCCTGCTACAGCTGTTGTGGCGAGACAGGCACTGTTGTACTTTACCGCATACCAAAAATAAAGAATTATATAAAAAAAAAAATACACTTTGTATGACGTTACATATATATAATATGTATATATATTATATTTGTGTTAGGTGCTTAAGATAGTACAGTGTGAAATACCATGAATAAGCGTAGGATGATAAAAGGAGCAAGTCGGTTGTGGTGTGCCGAAACCGACGATGAGGTAGGCCTGAGAAAGAAGAGGGCCCACCCAGGAAAAGAAATAGAAAGGAAAATAAATGTTAAAAGTGGTGTGGTGGGAGGGTCATTCAACGCTGACCTCGAACGGTAAGGAGCCAGGCAAGGGGAGTGCCTTAAGTAGGCTAGGGGTAGAAAACCAGCACCTCCCACAAATGCAGGCAAATTGCCTTAATACTTGTGTTAGGTGCTTAAGATAGTACAGTGTGAAATACCATGAATAAGCGTAGGATGATAAAAGGAGCAAGTCGGTTGTGGTGTGCCGAAACCGACGATGAGGTAGGCCTGAGAAAGAAGAGGGCAAAAATTAAGTAATCCAATTTATTAACAGACAACCAATACATATACATTTATCAACCAGACATGTTTATGAAAGCATCTCTTAACTCTTGTACTGGGTTCGGTATGTACCGTGAGTAAGCGGATGACTTCCAGCGCCCCAGTGTTTTGATAACATGAGTTGGGACGTTGAAACTGGAGGCTGTGGACGCGGCTCCTATACGAAAGGAGTGTCCTGAGTAATTGTTTGCGTT